TGACGCATTATCGTGATTGTGATTGTCATTCCCGGCGAACGTAAACCCTCCCCTAGCTGGAACGGGTTCAGGAGGCAGTGAGCGACGTATCTCATGAGAGTGTTCCCAGGCGGGGTTATCAGGACCTTCGTCCATGACATCATCGTCATTGTCGCTGTCAGTCCAGGCCGAGCTCTTAGCAGAACCTTCGTCCGAGGAATCCGACGCATTATCGTCATTGCGATTGTCAGTCCAGGCGAATGTAAACTCTCTCCTAGCTTCAACGGGTTCAGGAGGTGGTGAACGACTTGTCTCACGAGGGTCTTCCCAGGCGGGGATCTTGTCAGGACCTTCGTTCATGAAATTCGACGCATTATCGTCATCGTGATTGTCATTCCAGGCGAACGTAAACTCTTCCCCAGCTTCAATAGGTTCAGGAGTCGGTGTACGAGAAGTCCCATAAGGGTTTTTCCAGGCGGGGATCTTACTAGGATCTTCGTCATCAGACACTCCCTTGACATCTTCGTAGTCACGTAGCTCGCCGTTTGGTAACATATCGGTTATGGTGTCTTCTGAGAATTGTATGGGTTTTCCATGGATCAAGATGGGGCCATCTTCATCTTCGGATGATTCGGTGTCACGAGATTGCTGAGTCCGATCATTGTGCTGTTCAGCGTCTTCGACATTCTGTGGCAGCTGGTTGGCAACTCCATCATCGCTCATCTCGACTTCAGGGGACTGAGTCTTGAGGGCAAACTGGGTTTGAGACTGGGTTACAGAACCACCGGCATTCTCGAGCTCTTCATGGCCCTGGGTTTGGGATTCGGTCGCTTCAATTGACTGCTTGATCTCTTGCTTAAGTTGCTCATCGGCCATGATGTCATCTTCGGCCTCAGCATGAGCTTCAGCATCGACGTCCTCAGGAATTTCCGAGAAATCCAGGGCTTTTGGTCGTACTCTGCGTCTTCCGCGCTTGGCTGGAGGCTTTTTGGTGACATTAGCACCCGTCACACTTGACTTAGAGCGAGCAGAAGATCTCTTGGACAGGAGCTTATCCAGATCGTTGCTATCAAGCAGTGGAGAGGCATTTGATCCAGGCTGATTAGAGCGGGCACGGGTCGTACGGCGGGTGGTCGCAGGAGTAGAGGGTTGCTTTGAGCGCGCCATTTCGATGATGAGGTGCAAAGATACTGTAGGAAAGGTTTATAAGGTTCAGAGTTTCTCAATTGAAGAAATGTGAAGTAGAATTGACAAAGAAACGTTGAATAGTGGTTTCTGTGTAGGTGGGAGAAAGAGAGGCGGAGGCGGCGTGCAGAGATTTTCTGTTTTGACTTACCGCGGGGTCGCGAAATCTGTTTACATGTGCGCGCTCGTAGCCCAAGGCGACCGGGCCTCGCGTTGCGTGTCGTGATGCTTTTACTTCACTTGAACAATGTTGAAGATGGTGAACAATGGCCGGCGCGTTCTGCCACCGCCCTCGACAGGACCTTGGCACCGCGCTAGCCACGCGAGCATGCCGAATTTAACCCGACCAATTAGCAACCTTAAAAAGTCACGGGTTGCAGTTGCAACAATCAGGCATTTAGATGTGGACTTGGATACTCTATTGCTCGTTTGTTTCTTCATAATACTTTTTGCCGATGTATCATAGTCGCCTCAACGTCCTAGCTCGCCAAGATAGCATCTTCCATGATATGTAGTACCTCTACTACAATCTATGCCACAAGGCATACCTCTCCTGTATCACACTAACACAAAGACGTCCCCATGACTCATAAACATCACCCTCTGATCGAGGGAATCTTGCTCAAACATCGCCTTAGGTGTCACAACCTAACTAGGACAAGCAAGCAGCCAAGGATGATGCAGGGATGTGAGTCTGAGCATTTACCAAGATCATCCATGTCAACTCCGTCGCGTTAGACTATGCACATCTATATACCGTGCCTGGATCAGCGTTGGTAGATAGGGGGAGGATCTGGGTATCTGGGCGCACACTTTAGGGAATGAAGTGATCGATCTGCATAAGTTCCGGACGGGCGAGGATGAGCTGGGTGTTGTGGTGGCATAATTTGATGATAACCGGGTGAGGAGGGCACGTGTCGAAGGGCAGTTGTGAGAGAGGATGAGAAGGATGATCCTAGGCGTCAATGCAGCGTTTTGAACGAGTAAGCAAGCAGATAGAAAGCAGTACCACCGATTGCTACGCAGAACAGAGGTCTTGGCATGCGAGAAGTGAGAACTAATGAGAATGACACAGATCAAACAGAGTTCATCTAATGAGTTTTCTATGACACAGACAGACTACGCACCGCACTTACAACATGAACCGAATGTTGTTTTTGGTATACATCGACAGTATTTGTTTCAATGATAATACGTACTTACCGCAGCAGCATTGTGTGCACTAGGTACTCCTGGACGCCATTTAATGCAATCAGAGATCAGTTTTGATGGTGAGTGGGAGCAGAATTGTTGGGATATCCAATGCTGTAAACTTCTAGGGGTTCGCTTCAGTCGTAGTTGAATAGAACACTGATGCTTTCACCATGGTGGACTCTGCGGATTGCCTGAAGATTGGCTGTCAGTATTATTTTGGAGCAATATGACGAATCATTCTTACCTCAGCGAAGACATGACCAATGTCCAACACTTCAAGCTTAGGGCACTTGGTCTTGTGCTCCGTCTGGTCCACACTGTTGGTGACCACTACTTTGTCTAGAGCACTTGCATTGATCCGATCGATTGCATCTCCGCTCAAAATTCCGTGGGTAACCAGAGCAATGACCTTAGTGGCGCCCTCGTTTTTCAGAAGCTTCGCAGCCCGTGTTATGGTGTTCGACGTATCCGCGAGATCATCAATCAATATTGCAGTCCTTTCAGCGACATCTCCAACCAGCATCATGGTCGCGTTTTGACGGTCATTGATCTGTGTCGGTCGTCGCTCCTATGTGACATGTTAGAAAACAGTTCGACTACTAGGCCAAGTAGCTGGAATCCGACCTTGTGGATCAGCGCGAAGGGCATTCCAAGAGCATCAGCAATTGCCGTAGCTCGTTTCGCACCTCCAGCGTCCGGACTCACAACTACGGCGTCCTGATATTTGGGGATGTTGTATTGGATGTATTTACGAAGCATGTGGCGACCGTAGAGATTGTCCACTGGAATATCAAAAAAGCCCTGGTACTGAGGGTCGTGAAGGTCCATCGTGATGACATGGTCTGCGCCAGCGCAGGTAAGCAGGTCGGCCACGAGGGTTCCTGCTTGTGCGACCCATTGACGATAGCCACGTTGGGGCTGGAACGCGGGGAGATTTGCATTTCTCAGCTGTCCCTTGTTCCCTTCCTTGCGATTATCCTTATCCGCCTCATGAGTACCGTTTACGTTATGATCGCGTGAACGGAAGTAGTCAAGGTTTGATCCAGAGGATTCTGCAGTATCAGATCGTTTTGGCGGGCCGTAACCATTGGTTTTTGTGGGGCTTCGCTGGGTGGCAGCGTCACTCTTGCGGTCAGCTATTCTCAATTCGCTCAGGCGAGAGTTGATAGCATCTGTGCCTGTGTTCAATCCTTGACTTTCCTGTTGTCCAGGGTAAGGAGTCTGCGGTCTACTATCAAATGTATAGTGGTTCTTGCTGGAAGATCCGTTTTGACCCTTCGCCAGCGGCGCACCAACTTTGTTATAGGGAACGTCGCTTTGTCGAGAGTAGGGGAAAAGCGGAAGTACTGCGGTGACTCTGCGCGCTGAGGCAATTTTGCAGGCCGAGATCATAATGACCAACTCCATGAAATCATCATTTACTTTCCCACCGCCAGATTGCAGTATGAAGACGTCCTTGCCTCGTACTGACTCAATAATCTCGACTCTCGTTTCTCCCACAGCAAATTTGCTGAGTAGGACTTTAGCGGGAGGTATGCCTAGGTGGTTGCAGATGCCTTCGGTGAGCTGCGGGTGGGAACTTCCGCCCAGGATCACGATGTTCCGCACCATAATTACGATCGTACAGATGATGTGGCTAGACAAACGAGGCGCGAGCCGAGACGGACAGAGGGCGATAGAAGGTTATAATGGGGGATCGATAGACCTTTGGCTGTAGCTGTTAGAAAGGCGTTTGAATTAACGCAGGACTTACACCCACGAAGTAGGAATTATGCTAGAGGTTAGTAGAGCGCGACCAGGTATTCGTGCATTTGCACAGGAGAGCGCAGGGCCAGAAACATTTTGACCAAACTGCAAGAGGGGAACAGAAGAGAAGAGAGAGGTTCGAGGCGGACGAGCCGCATAGTGAGTCGACCGAAAAATTCGTGTCTTGGCGACACTCACCGAAACCGAAAGGGCATGGCAAGGCGCGGAGCAGCATGTGGTAATTAGTGGTAAGTTTGCTAAACCATGGAAGTCCGGGCCAGGATAGTAAAGCACGCAAGCATCATAAGTTATTTGTCCGATGGGGAGACGTGTGCCTTCAATCTATTCGACTCCTACAGCATCGATAACGTCCGCAATATTGGGGGAATGACGTCGGGCTTTATACAGACCGTGAACGGGATACAGCGAAGCTGCTGCAGGACGACAACAGTGCAGTGCAGTGCAGTAGTAGCCCCAACCTTATCGTTCACCGTTTCACCGCCCTGCTGTTTGCCCATTCACAGCGAGTCGTTTGCAATCAGTCGTTGTATCAAACGGTCACCCCCCCGTTGCAGCCACGTTTCCTCTCGCGACCCGCTGCAGGGTCAAGACGGATCTTTTCATGCAGCCTGGAGACATTGCGCCCGCGACGCGCAGCTATCATGACACGCGGTACGAGATGCCTCGGGTAACGAGACCATGTCGCGTGCCGAATGTACTAAATAGTAGTTCACGTTTTCAGTGGTGTGTGCTGTACACATTAGGTCTAGCACTGCGAAGCCACAGATCATGCTTATCCATAGGATTCTTCAACACATGTGTTGTAACATCACCATCAGCACGAGTCAAGAGAGCCAAATTATGATATAAGTCTATTCTGCGAAAGTCTAAGGGTTATAGAAGCTGCAATGCGTCTGTCTACTCTTTACGTCAGAGACAGGACAGAGAGGAAAATTTGTTGTTTTTGACAAACGGAAAATGGGGTATCAAGGGTGACGGCTCCAGCTATTACAGCGGAGCCAAAAGGAGTGTCTATATCCAGTGTTACTTTCTTCTCCAACATTATTATCCCGTCGCGGCGGGTGTTCCAGGTGCCGGCATCCTGGCGAGGTATATCCTTCCATATATCGACCGTCATCGTAGCATTGCCGATGCCTCAAACTGGGCAGGTCAGGCTTCGCTTGTGACTGATAGCGTTGGGCTTCATCATGAGGCGCAATTTCCTCGGTAGAGCAACGTGACCCCAACACTGATGAGCTAACATTTGAAGGTAGGCTTCCTCCTCCTGGCGCAATTTGGCCTGACGTTTCGCAAGTTCGGAAGGTGACACTTTGATGGTGCCATCATCCTTCTGCAAGACGTTCGAAAAGTCCATCTTGTGAGACGTACGGACCGGCGAATTCGCTGGAGATAACACCAGCGCTTCAAGCTCTTTGCATTGTTCGATCATCGCCCTCATTCCAGTGCTGAATTGCTCTGCACGCGAGTACAGGTGTTCGGAGAAGGACGCTCCCCACAGTGGATCGTCAAGCATCGCGGAGCGCATTACGCCTAGAAAGAAAGATAGCTGTGGTAGAGTGACAGACTCTGAAGAGACGGGCATGGATTCCGAGAGGAGAACGGCGGCGATAACGAAACGAATATGGGTATCGGAAGACAACGTCGTGCTGACAACACATGCTACTCTCTTCGTCAGTCCTTAGGTTTCACACCACTGTATGGTCTGCTCACCTGGACAGCCTTCTGAATGGCACCAGTCACCTTCGTCCTCCAAGAAGCATTGCAGACTCAGGAAAGCATCTCGTGCGTCATCACGGAAGGCCAACTCCCAGTCATCGGGTGTGGTAGAGCAGAGAGCGGCTTGCGCTAGATCTGCGGCACGATTGAAGAGTTGTACAACCGGCATGACTACAGCATGAATGATATCGCGGTGAAGGATCCATTCCTCGTACGTTTCTTCGGAACATTCGAAGTGTTCTTCGCAGAGGCTAGTGGGCATTTGTTAGCATACATTCAAGCCCAGAGTCCTGGTCGACAGACATGTGATCCTGTGTACCAGCGAGATACGAGCGCAGAATTTGGAAGCCACGTGAATCGTTAATGATATCAACGACTTCAGGGCGGATAACGAATGGCGACGCGCCGTGAGGTGTAGAGTAAGTGCTCGTCATGTTGAATCGATGTTTGGCAAGACAGGGTTGATGATTGTGAAGAGCAAATAATGGTGGGCACGGGCATTGAACTTGGGAAGAAGTAAGGAGTGACGAAAAGCAAATGCTAGAGAATTGGTAAAAAAAGAGTGGAAGTAGTGAAGTATACGAGCCTTGAAGTTAGTCTTCAGGTCGTCGAAAGTCGAGAGATTAGCCCAAGCTTCCAGATTCCCAATAGGGTATAGTACGTTCAGGGGGTTAGGTTGGCTCAGAGCTGAAAAGCAACAGAATCTGCCACTGATCTTTACCACGAACACAAGACACACTCTGGCTATTTGTATGCGTTCGGATTGCAAGCTTCACTTCCAGCGAAGAGTCGCTGGCATCGCACAATGCCTGTGATCCTGGAACAGACACATCGCTGTCTCTACGCCATTGGCCTTACTCACGAGCCTACTGCAGAGTCAGTCATACATGGCGGGCAGACCCACTGGCTGGCTATGCGTGGAGTCAGTACAAAGTATCTTGCTGGCGATCTAGATTCTAGAAGTCGAGTGAGCTGAAGATAGATAACAATGTTCGCGACGGAATAACAGATCGTAATTGGTGATATTGCGCCATGTATGCATAAGAAGGCTTTCACACCCGTCGGCCTCAGCTGCACCTGTCGGTTAATCTCGCCGAAGATGCCGAATGTGTTAGCAGAAGGTGTTACAGTAGTTCGGAGGAATCATGTAAGTTACCGGTGAAGCATCAATGGGTTTACTGCAAGCTGCATGCATCGTGCTTATCGAGTTGCATGAAAGTGACGATCATATTTCATAGAGTATAGGGAGTGAGACACTCCAGGCGCATACAGATTCGGAACAGGTGGAGAGATAGCAGCGGGTCCCTATAATGGATTGGGGTTTGTGGGGAGAGGATTATACCGTAACCGTAGTAATGTAATGATGAAAGATTCCAACGCACAGGACACTGCAGCCACAGCCTGACCTTTCCACAGCCTTATTATATGCTTGCGCATCTTGCATGACCCAGGCTGTTGACTTCACGATTGTTAGAGGTTCTTGCCGACTGGAAGGGTCTCGTGCCGTGGTATTTCATACCTACACTGCTGACTAGAGTGACTGAACTGGTTGCCAATGGTAGGAGCGGGGATGCTTCACTTATCTCCGGCCACCTTCAGAAGTGCCAGTGCCCCTCCACCATCAATGAGCACCCCGTTTCCCAATTCCCATCCCATCTGCCCTTCGACGAGATCAATAACTTAGTAGCGGATTTGGCTTGTCTTCTATCACCGAGCACCATCAGACCCGACAGCGTCCATACACATCTCCCTTAAAGACACCTAGGTACAGTGCTGCAACAGATCCTCTGAGTGCCCAGCCGGAAGCAACTGGCCGACTTAGATACGGGCATCTGCAGACTACTTCAACCCCTTCCACCTTTTACATCAGTAGCAACACATTCATCATGGTTGTACTACTCGATCTCTCGGCAGAGCTGCTACAGTATATTTTGCTCGAAGTGAACCCCCTGGATCTTGCTTCGCTGTCTAGGACCTGCTATGCATTGAATCACTATATCAACCCAAACAAATTGCTCTGGAAAGGTGTATTTCTCCGTGCCTATGTGAGTAAGAGGAGTTCATATGTTCTAGCGAGTCCATACAACGGGCATGCAGCTTATTCTGTACGTCCAGTCTCAGCTAATGTTGTAAAGGACTGCCCTACCAATCTACCAGAAGGCACACAGCCGGATTGGGGAGCCTTGCTCCGCAGCTACGTCAGCATGGAGAAAATTCTGGATTCTGACGATATCTCAATGAAGGTAGATGATCGCTTTGACGACAGAAGCGTACTAGAAGCTAATCAGTACTCGTAAAACAGAGAGCTAATTTCAAGAGTGTCGCGGAAACAAGTTTGAATAGGGTTCTTTCCTCACATCGCAAGTCTGCGATGTCGCGGAATCTGGCATCAATGGATCGGCTATTCTCCATCCAGGAGAATGTCGATATATTCATCTCCGCTTCTTCTTTATTCAAGGATGGTGGATCCGCAAGTCAATGGCCGAGAAATAGTGAAGAAGAACGTCAACTTAGTGCCAAGCTCCACGTTCTTTTCGGCGTACCGGAGGTTCCACGATCGAGAGCCCTGCAGCAAGCCGAGCTCCATGCTCACGCCAAGGCACGGGTATATGATCTTCGACAATATACTGACAAAACTGCATGGGGGCCCTTTGTTAATGATGGCAGCATGCGTGTAGATTGGGAGAAGGCTGAAGCCATCATGCTCGACCTCGCACACAACCTAGAAAAGTTTACGAGCCACGCGTGTAACCACTTTGCCTCCAACTTTATATGGCCTTCGCGCTTCCAAGGCTGCTCTGCAAACAGCTACGAATCAAAACCTCTTCATGAATATCCTGAGCCACGCGCAGTCATAGGCCACTTCCTGCCCAGTACACCACCTGACATAGCACCCCTCTACCACGAACCAGCCTTACCACTGGATATCATAGATCCATATGGCGTCACCGGCACATGGCGCAGAGTTGTCTGTTTCCTCGATTACACCGACCTCTACCGTATCAATTTCGAAATGGAGCAACCAGCTGCAGATGCACCCAGACCTCCCCTCGACGAGCAAGAAGCCATCCGACTCATCAGAATCAACCTGCGGGTGACCAGAGTAGAACCTCCAGGCGAGCACGATGGCAAAGACTACCCGGTTGTCCACTTCAACGGCAGGTCTCGCTCCATGCACACTCATTGGGATCCCAACGCCACCTCCCGCATTCGCGGCTCCGTTCGACAAACTCCTGAAGGCGAGATTCGGTGGACCTCCTTCAGTCTCTTCCACGGCGAGGAGCGTTGGCGCAGCGAAGGTATTCAGGTCGGCGGAATCCGCTCTTCACGCGGTATCCTAGGAACTTGGTTCGACAAGTAAGTCTTCCGCTACAGCTACTCGTACACATCTTTCGCTGACCCTGTATCTAGGGACTATGAAGAAGCCGGACCTGCAGGACCAACGGCATTCTGGAAGACAAGCGACGACATCATCGAGGAGAAGCGCCAGCCACAAGCCGCTGCGGGCAGCTGGCACCACGCGCACCACACCGCGCACTATTCGTCTGACGACGACGACGATGACGATGATGACAACAGCGATTGAACAGGCTCATTTGGATTTCCTTAGCACGTCGATGTCTTTGTGGCATCTCGTAGGTAGTTTGGTGTTTTGACACATGTCTTGGCGTCATCAGTTTGTGTGGGATTCGTGCGGTGCATTCATTGCCGGTTTGGCTTTTGTTGGGTGACAGCGCATCGCACCGGAAATTCTCTTCATTAATTACCTTGGTAGACATGATGGGACGTGGTCCCCACAATAGAATGCATTATTGAAAATGCTGACTTAATACTTTTCCCTTGAACGAATAAAACACTGTCGCGTCATTTGGAGACCAACGTGACATTCTTTGACTACCTATCGGTCCTATCGGTCCGTTTACAATGAAGTAGACCGGAGTAAAGCTCCACTGAAACTATTGAAAGGAGGATTCCTCAGTCACGTGTTGTGTTCCTCCCGACCTAAATAACTAGCTGGGTGCGACTGCGGCCATACCGCAGTGATCAACATGTTTCGCCGTTGTTTCACCGTGCGACGCACGTCACTCTGTACAGACACAGTAGAAATGACAGTATGCATAACTTTTTCTATTTGGAAATAGTATCACGCATTTATTATCATTGCGTTGGGACGTAGTTGCTGCTAAATTGATATATGTTAAGCACCACCAGCCGCAAAAGAACTCATACGAGACGTCGAACCGTTGGACCACCCAGTCCAATCGCTGTTTCTGCTCATCACCCAGTTTCCCTATGATTGTTTCCATGTACGCCGTGACCGAGATAGAAAGAGGTAGATAAGAAGGACATAAGCGAGAAATTTGCATGAGATGACGCGGGGATCTGGTGAGATGTCCAGATCCGAATGAGGGAGGGAAAAAAGAAACAAGGTTGTATAGTACAGTAAACCGGAGCGCGCGCAAATGGGGCTCGACAGTTACATTTGCATAGCGTCGTCCTGTGGAACGATAGAAGAGATATCGGCGGAGGCTGTAGACATCTCTACCTCAAGAGTGCTGGGTTGACCAGGAGGTGTGTTGCGCTGAGCATTGATGCGGTCGCCGAGAACAGCAGGGACAGGGCGAACTGTAAGGTTGGACACAGCAGACTGAAGGTCATTGCCAATCAATTGGCACCATGACAGGCTATCGTGAAAAAGCCAATATTTCGCCAGACCATGAATGTCTGTCGCGCGAACCAAGTAGGCAGACAGACGCTCACTTTCAAGCATGATGGTTGCATTGGTGAGAGCAAAGTGATTCTCGATGACGCGAGTGTACGCGCGGGTCGATGCAGTAGGATCCGCCATCATGTTTGCCCATCCGACACCAAGCTCAGTGATGAGTTGGTTGATGGTATGACCTTGTTCGTCAATGACGACGCTCGCTTGTTGGTCTGGTTCCGTCAGGGAATCAACGCGACTGGAGCGAGTGCGTGCTGATTTGCGCGACACCGCGACGGGACGAGACGCGATCTCTCTTTGTTCTTTCTCCGCTTTCTCTTCGGCCCAGGTGCCTGTTTGTGATTCAGCGCCAATGTGAAAGCCGGTTCTGTCGTCAGGGTAAATTAGGGTCATGCCAGGCCCGTATATGGGTTCAGGCTTGGGCTTAGGTGGAGCAGCGTTGGGGCAGTCGGCAGGACGGTCCTCAGGGTCGACGTCTTGTATAGATCTTTTGCGGCCAGCAGCTGAGGTGTTTACCGCAGCTTGATAGTTGAGCGAAGGAGGAGTAGGATGTCTTCGTATGGGTGAAGTTTGTCGAGCGTGGGCGGAGAAGTAGTCTGGGGGCTGCTGTGGAGGGAGGACGACGGTTGGAGATGAAGCGTAATAGTTGAGCGCCATTGCGACTGCGAGTTAGTAGATCAGAGAAATCAAACAACAATTGACTAGATACTAAAGCTTCACATGCAACACGACACGTAATAGGTAGTGCTGGTGAGGCTGGAAGCGTGCCGAAGGTGAGGTGCAACGAGGCGTCGAGCAAGGTAAGGTGGGTGGACGAATGCGAAGAGATACCTGTCGAGGGAGAGAAGAAGGAGGAGGAGCTTCAAGAGAGGCGGAGGTAGGAAGTGAGAGTATTTGTATTGGTGGGACCGAGACGTTTGGTGGTGCAAGAAGGTGGGTGGGAATGAAAGAGAGACAAGAAGTGGATGGGATGGGCGGGTTTAAGACCTCAGAAGCTATAGATAGAGTACAGCCAATCATGAGTACGAAGGGACTCCAGTGAGCGCTAGACCGTTTGCAGCTGAAGGTTCGACACGGGAGCTTGGCACTGCATCACTGCCAAAAGCAGGGCGAACGGCGGTATGACTTTCCGGTGGCTGGCAGCTAGTCCATTTCCATTGGTAGGGCAGGAGCAGTCAGCAAGGTCTGCCTTGTTGCCCTACAGTGGTGGTCCGACTTGCTCTCTATTAATTTTAGCGAGTGTATGCTTTCGGAGTAGTGTTGTACTCGTAAGGAGCCATAGTCACATGAGTGAGCCGCGCTCGGGCTTTACATAATTCTGGCATATTCAGGCACGTGACGATATTTCTCCATCATCGTTACAAGGAAGGATTTGTAAGTCAACTGTCACCCTGCTACCCTGTACCTAGATAGGGATCTGAGTCGAGCGTCTCAGCCACATATAGCATTCTTCAACATCTATAGGCTCAGGTTAGAGATGTCAATCAACTTTTTTCGACTTTCTGTACGGTACATATCGTCTTGGTGTATAAAATAATTAGGATTTTCGAATATAATACTGTCTGTGTATTCTTATGCGTCGCTATTCGCTGTATTTATATCATTTTTGTCTCCTGATTGCTCGTTGAATGACAGACAGCAACAAGCTGTTGCTGTGGAAGAAAACCACTCCACGCAACGTAGAAGAGGCCAGCTATCATATACTCTAATCATTGGTTGTCTTGATGCGGAAATCTGAAGGCGGGACTTGGAATGTGGAAATCCGAATGTGTGTCTCTGGATATGCACATCTATTCCAAAATTCACCTTCCCCATCCCATCCAACTCTTTCAGACGATATACCATATTATCACCCTTATGCGTGTGAAGCCTCAAGAGAGCGCCATGTACCACACTTATCCCCGCAATCTCGACAGAATGCCATCACTAAGCAGTCCAAGTAAGCAGGTGCGCTGATTGTATTCGTCGTCATCGATCTATTGCTCGACGAAGAACTTCAGATCTGACTGCTAGCTGATTCATCCTCGCGACGTGTACACCCTTCCAGAGACCCTTAAGTGGATCGCCCGCGTCGGTGTCGAAGCCATGATACCCCAGCTTCTGACAAGAATTCATGTGGAGAAGGATGCTGTCGTGTACTTGGACGTGACACTGCGTCAATTTAGATGTACTATATACTTATCTGGTGCGACACGCCAGCCTTCGGGACAGTCGATATTTTGATATGTGAAATCGAAGACCCGAAGCATAAGATGACATCATGGGCTAATCTGGACGATCTTGAGGTCAATGTCGAGATCGTGGAATGGGGAAGACTTGGAAGCCATTTCTATATAAGTTTGCTATTTGTATTGAGACACTTCATGCATGTAATCTGCTTCGTAGACTATTGTTCACCTAATTTGATGATACTCAATCGAGGTCATACGTATGGTCTATCGATGAGACGGGTCTTCAAGAGCGCAAGGACTGCTTTGGAGCTGATCGCTACATACAAGACAGAGTAAGAGCTGTTGTTCGGTAGATAATCTGTATATATAAGAGTAGCGACTACCTCGAGAACAAAAGTGTAGACACTATAATTTACAACAAGACAGATGGAATAGTCATTTTAGCTGTGTGAGAATCCATTGGACTCTTGCCTAGCATCACACTATCTTGGAAACCATATCCAGGTTTTCAAGAAAGCGAAGTCGTCAATTACCTGGGCACTGCACAGCATCATTAGATATCCATTGTCATTTGCTTAATTCATCGACAGGTCAGATACTGTGTCAAACTGCATGGTAGGTGTCTCGCTTTTCGGCTACGTACTGCCTTACCATAATGGCAGGTTCCACCTACAGCCATGTCTACTGTACCGATTTACTTCTTCTCGGGCTTCACTGGATTCTTGTTTCCTTCCCACTTTAATTCTCTTGGAGTCATGTATGCTTCTAGCACATCATCTGTCACCTCCTTTCGTCGATCTTGATAACCCTTCACATACTCTTGTAACTTTGCAACACAAATCTTTTTCAGTGCGCCGGTTCCTAAGTCTCCTTTTCTGTACTGCTGTGCGAGCTCATCCAGCTTCGCATCATCGTCATCAAAGTAGCTCAAGTATTGATATGCGACGTCAACGTCCGGGTTACCACCAAGCTCTTTGTGTAGCTCAATAGTCTCTTGTCCTCCTGAGAAAGCATGTTTGTTGATTTTCTTTTCTATTTGCTTGGCGGTGTCACTCATGAAGATGGCGGAGTTGGGGTCGCTTGACGACATCTTGCCACCGGGCCCGTACAGGCCGGTCAGGAACTTCGAATGGATGAGAGCAGCCTTCTTGATCGGCGGCTTCATCTTGTGAGAATTGTCTCTGACTAAACGGAAATAGGGGTCTTGGTCGATGGCACAGGGTATTAAGCAGCGTATCTTGGAAGATTTCTTGCTACGGTTGCCAGCTGGATCATCACCGAAGATGTGAGGGTATGAGGTCGGATATGCGGCAACACACTGAAGAGCAGGAAAGAAAATGCGGCCGATGTTGGTGCTCAAGTCGAAACCAAAGGCTCCACGAACTTGGTTGAATGTAACTGCTCTTGCAAACTCCAATGCATTCTGATAGAAGTGACCGCCAATGTATTCCGTGTCCATGTATATGAACGTCTTTTTAGGATCGAATCCAACAGCAATAATATCTTTCGCATTCTCCCGGGCGAACTGGCGCACATCTTCTATCTTCAAATCGTTCTTGAACAGGAATTTCTCGTCGTCCGTCAACATGATCACCAACGGAACATCGAAGACGTCTTGCAGCCATTTTGTGAATTCGAAAGGTATCGTGTGCCCAATATGCATGCTTCCACTACTCGGGCCTCTCCCTGTGTATAGCATGAAGGTCTCGCCGCGCTCGTAGCAGTCGAGGATCTCGTTGAAGTCGCGGTGGCTGAAGAAGAGGCCTCGTTTCAACCAGCGATGAGGTTCTTTGCCAGTCACTTTGGTGAATCGTGCCAGTAGCTCGTCGTCGATCAGCTTCGTATTCCATTGCTTCGATATTGCAGCGTAGTCGAATTCCTTCGCGTTTCCTTGCTCATCGGTCCCAGCAGAGACGTTCCAGGGATCGATAGCTTGCTCTGTAGCTTTTGTAGCTGTGTCGGTGACAGCAAGCGCCGCCACAGAAGGTGGCTCGCTGGGCTCGTTCGTCATGCCAAATTATGTGTATGACGAGAGTATAAGGAGTCAAAAAGCGTGAAATGTGGTTTCAGTCCATCGCAAACAGTAAGACTCATTCGGCGCGGGGCGTTTCGCCGGTCTCGTTTCTCGTTAAATTCTGCCCCGCCATGGATAAGAAACAAAGCCCACCATACCCTCCAGCTGATCCGCTGCCCGTAAAGAAACGCCCTTGCACAATAATTTTAAGTTTTAATCACTTGGTTGGTAAACAAGGTTTTGCTTGCTTTAGTAATTTGATGTACTCAGAATTCAATCCACGTTCGATCTCAATGGCAGCCATCATTGTGAGGTAAAGTATGAATAAGCTTCCCTGCTTCGGTTCGAGATTGGGATAGACATCGTGGTTGAAGAGGAAGCCGAATGTAAGTGTCGAGTCTTGATACATGTACAGAGATATGGAGGCAATGTTGGAACTTGGTCTTCTATCATGATCCCTTCATAACCTCCGAGTCAATAACCGCCCAGAGGTGGTTCTATTTTTATGACAATGCTGTTATAGCGCTGGCATGAAGAATCGTACTGGCAAACATATGTTCTATAGCATCAGCGACTTGCCTCTCACTGTACACAGGTGAAAAGGATAACGCTATTCTCATTGGACATATGTACATGAAGGTATGTATAAATTGTACAATTCGGAAGAAGTTCACGCGTTGCTTTTGCGAATCTCTTGCTTCTGTTTCTCCATCTCAGCAGCCAACAGTCTACGCGTCTCCTCTGACGCCTCTCTTGTAACTGCTCTCTCCTTTTCTTGGGCTTCTGCAATTGCACCCCAGACTGTAGACTGTCAGGATACGGTACAAAGGGTGATCCACGTGACCATAGATCATGATAGTGAAGGCTCGTACTATTCTTATCTGATTTAGCATTGTCCTTTAGCCTGTTGACGAAAGCATCGAATTCTTCTTGGTTCTTGGCTCGATTCTCTAACGAACGCTTTTGCAATTCTGGGTTATAGCGCTGGCGATGATGTCAATTTCGTGCATCTTGCACATCGTCTATCTCTGCTCACTTTGAATAATTCTTCCTCTGTCGGTTGTACCCACATGACCAGGGCTGGTCCTCCAACGCACAAAACTACGCCTCTGAGATGACTTCAAAACGTGTAATCCATCAGGGGCTGGGAGTTGAGCTTACGAGGCAACCATTTTGATCCAGCCCTTTGTGGAAAGACCAGGCATGGTGACGTTGATGACTTGAACACACACTTATGAGATGCGAGAATTCAATTGCGATTGGAAGATCAATATGATAAGATCTCGATGACTGGGCAAACAAACTATGTTCACGATGAAGCCAGCCGGTGCAAAACATGCAGACCCGACTCCGAAAGTGGTGATGTTCTGGAAGTGTTCGATGTGGCGCTACTGTGGCTGGGCGGCCAATCTTAATTTCACGGGACGGGGGCGCGTTTGGGAAGCGTGAATTGGGCAAGACGAAGAGAAGATCTTGTGATTCAGACGTTGGAACTACTGTAACTAAGCCTTACCAACCCAAATTTTCACGTGGGATATTCCAACATATTCCCGTCAGTTGGGGGAATGATTCGCAGTTTGCAGGTGATCCACGAGTGTTTCGCATGGCTGAAGGCGGGGCGGGCAGTCGTTGAGGCTAGCTAGGTGCAGGCGGGTGACGGGTGTGGGCGATTCCCCCTAGATCCCATGTCGAAACACCAGGAAATGAAGATTGTTAATGCGAGGGTAGCAGTAGCATAGGAATCAGGCCTGTAGCTCCACATGAACACGGTATATCCCATAACCCTCTGGGCCCGCTGACGTCTCTTGTGATCCTTTACTGGTGCGCATTGTCGTGGCATTGCCTACATGTGCCGCTCGTCTTAACGTGGGCTGGAGCTTGATGTATGCCATCTCTGTTCCCTCGCACCCACACGCGCTCTTCCAGCCTCCATCACCACCTGTCCTGACCAGCTTCCATCTACCAACGCTCGTTTGACTTCTACTATCCTTTATCCCTTACATGTCACTGAGTCTACAAGCGCGCAGCTCCGAGAACCTTGCATGTCTGCAGATTTACGGCCCGGCTGTGGATCTTGCGCAACACTCTCATCAACGCCATCTCACCTTTCAAAGCCGTGACCGTCGTCCAAGTGCTCAACATACCTTCATTCGACCATCTAGTAGCCTGATTGTCTCGTCAATCGCGCTCTGTCCCCACATATGACAGCATTCGAGTCAGACTTACAGTGCTGGTCGCTGTTTAGATCTTGAGACAATATACACATATCACGCCTGAGTGACAACCTAGAAAGACCTTCCACTACGTGGCCTCGAAGATCATATCACTGCTCTATTCCCTGATCATCCCTACGGAGGCCGTGTGCCTTCTTGATCACTTAGAAAAGGCCCTCAAGTCTGGAGTCTCTATACGTCAATTCGCAGCTCGAAGCCATTAATTGGGATCGATAGTACATCGATACGCGCATCTGCAATGGCTTACGACTCGCACGCAGACTACCAAGCGCCGCCGCGACGATACATGGACCAAGGAGCGCAGCAGCGACCACCTTCAAACCAAAGGAACAACGCGTACAGTGGGCAACATCAGGGAGAATACGCATATAATGACTATGGATATCAGCAAGATTTCTACGGACAGCAACAATATGGCTCAAAGCCGACTCAAGTCAATCGAGGTCCCAGACCACCACCACGACAACAACCACAACACCAACAAGAGTATCAGCAAGACGAGCTTGGTTATGGGGATCTTATCAGCGGGTATGAGGAGAGCAGCCAACAGGCTCCAAGAAATCAGGGTCCTTCAAGAGCCGCTGTACCTCGACAGCCAATATCCCGCCAAGATCATTCCTATGGGTATGATGAGGGATATATTGAGCAGAACAATGGGTATGAGCAGCAGTCCAGACGTCCTCCACCAGGCCCTCGGCAGCATTCTGGGGGTCGTGGGCCTCCTATGCGGGGACCGCCGCCTCCAGGCTATCATCCGCAGCAGAGTATGGGTCGAGGAGGAAGGCCACCACCTGAACAACGTCCAGATCCAAGGGGTTCTGCAAATCAAAGTAGAGCTCGTCCCCCGCCAAACTTCGAAGGCCGTCCACCTTCTGATCAGCCAGGCAACAGACCACCGAGTAAGTAACGTGGATATAGTGCATCGCATAATTCGCCTGACAAGGTTACAGCTCGCGAGCGCATACTAAATAAGCAGCCACCGCTGAAATTGTCTCAAGACAATGCTTTTCCAACTTTTGGGGCGACGAAAGCAACTCCGCCGGCGGCGGAATTGGAGAACCCGATGGCCAAGCTGAATATCCAAGACGCACGGGGGAGTGAGGATCGCGCGCGACCACCTACATCTGCAAGCCATAAGAGTAATGGATCAATGAGAGGCCCACCACAGAATGGATTCCATGATTCGGGCTACCAAGACAGTTTTGAACCTCCATTTACTCAACAGCGCCCAGGCTACGCGTCCAAGGACAGCTTCAACTCAAGGCCCTCACTAGACAGCTCACGCGATACGCGCTCATCTCAACAGCGGAACTCTCCACCAAGGCCACCGCCTCTCAACCTCGGGACCAATCAGGCAGAGCGTGTAAGCGGCAGCTCACATCATCTAGCGCCTTCATATAGTACTTTTGGTCCCATATCGAGGGCTGCAACTATGCCGAATAACAGCTCAGCTGATTCTAGGCTATCTCAGCCTCAGCAACAATGGGCCCGCGCTCAGACCGATAGCTACCAAGGCCCTGCTTCACCAAGCTACATGGGTCGCCCATCTACTGCGAGTGGATCAGGTCAAAACTGGAACAGCAGGCCCACCACGCAAGATGCCCAAAAATACAAGGCCTTCACATCGCCCAAGTATGAAACCCAGGATCCTCTCGATCTAAATCATACGAGAGATGAAAGTCTTTCGGATCTCTACGACGACTACGCATACGACGATGATTCGAAGCACACGCGTACAAATAGCAGGGAGGAGGCTATCGAGTTGGAGATGCCAAACTTCGATGCGATACCAGCAGCTAGCAGCCCTCGATTTACGCTACATTTCAATTCGCCAACGTTCAATGTGGCGCCCTCAACAGACTTACCAGAGGTTGATGATGGGAACGGCTTTTACAAGCAGGCCAAAATGAGTCGTTCACAGCCGGACCTACGGGCTCAGGCACGGGAGGGATATCACCAGTACAATGGGAACAACGTCCCTCCTATGCCACGCGGCAACATGACTCCAGCTCCACGCGGGCGTGGAAGCGGATCGGGGCCAGGACCGAATATGAATGGCGGTTATGGCCACAGAGAAGGACCAAGAGGCGCACCAGGACCTCACGGACATGGTATGGACAAGCCGCAATCTGATTTGGATACTACTGACCAGTTTCAATACTCAGATTTGGGTTCTCGCTCTTCTATGGATATTCAAAGACCTAGTATGCAAATGAACGAGCCACATTACAGCAATCCAGACGCTTTGCCTTCGCATCCTGTTCCAGTACGGCTTGGGCTAAACGACTCTACCAGTCCCTCGAACAGCAATCAAGGTCCACACCGACCTCCGCCTGTCCGACAATACAATGATCCTGCCACTGCGCGGAATTCAGTGGGTGGCACCTCAATACCGGTCACTCACGACGAATTGAACAGGTTACGAACTGTTGTTTCAACAAATCCCCACGATCGAAAGTCGCAGCTTCTCCTCGCAAAGAAGCTCGTTGAGGCAGCACGCGTTCTAGCCGACGAAGGAGGCTCAGTTGACATAAAGACACGAAACAAGAATCGGGAGAGATACATTTCCGAAGCCCACAAGAACGTCAAGAAGCTCGTCACACTTGGTTATCCCGAAGGGATGTTCTATATGGCAGACTGCTATGGTATGGGTCAATTAGGCCTCGAGGTAGATACCAAGGAGGCCTTCAATCTTTATCAGGGAGCGGCGAAGATGGGCCACGCGCAGTCCGCGTATAGAACTGCCGTGTGCTGCGAGATGGGAGCCGAGGAAGGCGGTGGCACGCGCAAAGATCCACAGAAGGCTGTGCAATGGTACAAGCGTGCCGCTGCTCTGGGTGATGTTGCTGCCATGTACAAAGTCGGTATGGTACTTATGAAAGGCTTGCTTGGCCAGCAAAAGAATATGGGCGAAGCTGTCAACTGGCTCAAACGTGCCGCAGAACGTGCAGACGCGGAGAACCCCCATGCGCTGCACGAGCTTGGTCTCCTGTATGAAGGTGTCTCGACTAACGCGTCTGGTCCGGTCATACGTGACGAGAATCATGCAGGTCAACTGTTTCGGCAGGCTGCAGAATTAGGATACAAGTTCTCGCAGTTCAGACTTGGCCAAGCTTATGAATATGGCCAGCTTGGTCTACCAATTGACTCTCGAAACAGTATTGCTTGGTATACGCGCGCTGCGGCGCAAGGCGAACATCAGAGCGAACTGGCCTTGAGTGGCTGGTATTTAACTGGCAGTGCTGGTTTGATCGAACAGAGTGATACGGAGGCATATCTGTGGGCTCGAAAGGCGAGTACGGCAGAAGTTCCGTTACCCAAAGCAATGTTTGCCATGGGTTACTTCACTGAAGTGGGCATTGGATGTCCAAGAAGTCTAGAGGAGGCGAAGAAATGGTATGGGAGAGCTGCAGGTATGTCGTGCGAAACCCCCCGGCGTTGCGGGATTTTATATTGACACTTTGCCTAGCACATAAATTTCCGAAAGCACAAGAACGTCTCGAGGAATTGAAGAAGGGTGGCATGAAGGCACAAAAGAGTCGTGAGAGATTGAGTCGTACCGACAGAAAGCAGCAAGACGAGAATTGTGTTGTCATGTAAGGGACCATGTCCTACTTCCTGCTACCTTTGTATTATTGCCGACTGCGTCTGAAATGCCCTGTATTGAAGACCATCTCTCCGATTTGCGTGGAAGGCGTTTCATCTCGAAGCTCTCGCGATCATTTGAAAAGGCGTTATCCGGGTGTACAGCTGTATGTTTAGGACGTGAAAGGACCGAAGATATGTAGCAGGCTATGTCTACGTTTGGGGCGGAGTTTGGCGCATACAAGCCACCAGAAATGAATATATGGAGGTATGCACCGCAATGTATGAGGCTGATTACGGGGTATATAACCTGCATCGGACTCCGTTCGTGCACTGACAGGGGCGAGTGCCAAGAGCCTGCCTGCACGTGTCAACAAACGAAGACGCATCATGGATGCAACACGATGAGTTCGAGTTCATGTGGAATGTCAACACTTTCTTGCTACTGCCGACAGGAGTGAAGTCAAATGAAGCATATGATAATCCTCGAAGCACTGAGATTGGATGAGCAGGTACCAAATTGTCCGTACATGGAGACTCTGACTTACAACCGCATAGCATCGAGCATCAAGTCGGCCACAGACAACAAACAATCTGCAGCTCTCAAACTTCCTCCGCCGGATGATTATGAACCCGTGCACTTTCAAATCTGCAATATGCAGATCCCCTACACATGTGCTTCCATTGACGCCCTCTCCTGAAGCAATCTTCCCATGTATATAATGAGTCCAAATCTACACCTGATGCTTTTCCGTCTCATCACACTCACTCACATCCACTCTACAACACATTCACTTACTTTCCTTTACTACTACAACTTACTACATTCACTCTTTACAACACTTTCAAGCCTTTTCAAAGCCTCACATAAAACAACATCCTTCACAATGCGTGCTACTGCAGTCCTCATCGCCATCTTCGCGAGCTCCGCGCTTGCAGCTCCTCTCAACGCTGTAAGCTCCCCTAACGATCCCCCACCTTTTCACAATTCTCCACTGCCTTTTACAGGTGGTCCATCTTGCCGGAATATGCAGCTAACTCAATACTACAGGCCCGCCAAGCTGGAGAGGCTGATGGCTACTCCTATGGCTACGGCCACGACGTGAAGAGCGGCCATGGCGAGCATAAGCGTCAAGGTCCCGGAGGCGAAGACTATGGCTACGGCTATGGTATGGAGAGCAAGAGCCAGGGCGGCCACAAGAAGCGCCAGGGCCCTGGTGGTGAGGATTACGGCTACGGATATGGACACGAGGAAAGCAAGGGTCACGCCGGCCACGAGAAGCGTCAGGGCCCCGGTGGTGAGGATTATGGCTACGGATATGGCCACGAGGAGAGCAAGAGCCATGCCGGTCACCCAAAGCGTCAGGGCCCCGGTGGTGAGGATTACGGCTACGGATATGGCCATGAGGAGAGCAAGGGCCACGGTGGCCACGAGAAGCGCCAGGGACCTGGTGGTGAGGATTACGGCTACGGATATGGACACGAGGAAAGCAAGGGTCACGCCGGCCACGAGAAGCGCCAGGGCCCCGGTGGTGAGGATTATGGGTACGGCTACGGCCATGAGGGCAAGAGCCAGGGCGGCCACGAGAAACGCCAGGGCCCCGGTGGCGAAGACTATGGTTACGGATACGGCCATGAGGGCAAGAGTGAGGGTGGCCACTCCAAGCGCCAGGGACCCGGTGGTGAAGACTACGGTTACGGATACGGCATGGAAAGCAAGAGCCACAGTGGTCACGAGAAGCGTCAGGGTCCCGGTGGTGAGGATTACGGCTATGGATATGGCATGGAGGGTAAAAGCCAAGGCGGTCACCCGAAGCGCCAGGAGTCTGATGAGGCCAACCCTCTAGCCGCACTCGCACCAAAGAAAGAAGAAGGTGGCGAGGAGAAGAAGGAGCAGGGCGAGAAATCCGAGCCCCAATCCAACCCACTCGCAGCACTAGCACCTCAAGAGGAGAAGAAAGGTGGCGAGGAGAAGAAAGAGCAGGGCGAGCAATCATCCAACCCTCTCGCAGCACTAGCACCTCAAGAGGAGAAAAAGGGCGGCGAAGAGAAGAAGGAGCAAGGTGGCGAGAAGAAGGAAGAGGAGAGCGAGGAAGAGAACCCTCTCGGCCGCCGCCTTGAGAACCCAATCGACCCCCTTGCGAAGCCTGTCGCCGACAAGATGCAGGGCAAGGCTGAGGAGATGAACAAGGCCCAAGAGGCTGGAAAGAGCCCCCTCGGGCCTCTCGTCGAGAACAAGGGTAACTAGAGCATCACTACGCTCTGGTCTACCACCGGCTCGGGGGGCTTTTCTCTTTTCTTTTCTTGCCTGATGCCGGGCCCTTGTTCTTCTCACTTCTGGCGGACTACCACTTTGTATGGATTGACGGCATTTTCTTGGTTCTTGGTGACGGTCACGATAAGCGCTACGTTTCTCCTTGCGTCTCTTCTTTCCTCTTCTATGTCATGATGTATTTTTACTTTGGCCTGCCTTGGCCGTATAACACTTCGCTTCGTAGCTTGCTGTAATGCTTGCGCTTGTATAGACATATATTCCTTTTAATAATATCTTCATGAACATGAGCTGTGAATCAAAATAAGAGGGTTCTCTCATCTTCCGTGTGAGTTGTCTTCTTCATTCCTTATTCTTATCATTATCACAACGTATGCTTTCTCGCTCTCAAAGTATTAATAACAAGCCAGTATACAGTTTGGAATACACATAGGCGCATTACTTAGGTTTAGAGACTGTAAACGTACCGGGTACGTCTATGCGCCTGAGACTCCTCGGACGCTGTCTTTAAAGCTCTCAAGAGCTAGCTGAGGCAATGGCGAGCTTGTTGTAATGCTTAGGTCTTAGTATCGGGCCTTGGTTCTGCGTCACGATACGAGCTTCGAGCCTGCTCGAAATTTTGCATCAAGATCGGCAGTCTATAGTGAACAGGAGCAGTATTCAGCAAGAGATATCTCATATTATCCAGGCTCTTCTAAAGTTGGCATTGGGTCTATACCATGTATCTAACTAATATATCGTGTATCCGTATACAAATCTATCTATCGTATGATGCCTAAACGTTTTCATCCCACCACTTACCACGGAAGCCAGTTCTTGACCGACTTGACGTAGACCCAAAGATACACTGACAGATAATTCGATACGCAGAACAATGCAAAGATGCCCAGATTTCTCCAAGCATTCGAAACGGAAATTTGCCTGGTGACGAGATACTGTATCACATATGAGTCTAGAGTCCACTCCCTGGAAGATAAAGACGACTTACATCCTCGCCCTTCGAGTACTGACAATACCCGCAATCTTGAGTAGCGTTCGGATTGACTAGATATCCCGTCGTGCCATCCAACCATGCCTGTGCGTAGGTTGCGCATGTATCTCCAGGAGGCGCTTGAAAGCGGATGAGTTCAGAGTCCATGCAGTGTATGGTCAGATCGCCCAGGATCATTGCAACCACGCCGGAGATCCAATACATAAATGGACCGACATAGTATAGTGTGTAAGCCCATACAGCAGGCATAAGAGATTGTGGCTGCAGAACACCATTGAAAAATTCGCCAACTATGATAATGAAGGGCATGATGTTCGCGGCCATGACTGCGTCGGCACTAAAGCAGAGTCAGTCGCGACACAAAGATGAAGCATAAAGGTAGGGTTGTAAGATGAAGCATACCTGAGTGCTGCAATCCACTGACCCCAGGAAGTGCTGAAAAGGTGAAACATCATCATCATAAGGAACGTATACCCAGCCGGAGTCCCAAGAGGTAGACCAACGAGGAAATAAAAAAGTACGTAGAAGATGAGGCCACCAGCGAACGCCCAGGGAATTTCAGAAATGATCTGTGCGGAGGTGAAAGCTACCCAGCCATATATGCGGCTAGGATACTCTCGGCCAAGCCAGATATTGCGATTCTCGACAAACATCATCGAAGACGCGTTGATAAACTCCGGGACAATCATGAGGACTAGGAAACAGGAGAATATCCGATATTGGATACTCGCGACGCTGTTGTTCAGCTGTAGGAATGCCAAACCATTCAGGACGGAGTGGAAGAAGGAGCAGTAAAGTCGGGAGTAGATGTAATCCGGCGTGCGCCAGTACTGTGTCATGGTTCGTTTTGTTAATTCAACGATCTGCCTTGCCATAGACGATGCATATGTAACTTGTGTTCTGCGTCTCGTCTCCTTTGATGAAGCCTCAGTGCCATCAGATGCTCCAGAGGTTGTCAATTCGTCAACCTTGCGAAGGACTGCTTCAGCTTCTGCCGATTCGCTCCAGACCTTGCTTAAATCCAGTTCTTTTGTAGTCTTGCCAGATGCAACTTCTATCAAGAAATCTGCGACGTTTTTACCTGGTTCGCACACGATACCGTGCGCGGAAAAGTACTCAATCACGGTTCGACCATGCGAGCCAATGTCGCCAAAATAGTACGGTCGTCCTCCGCGAGCCAGTGCAAGCACACGATCGAAAAGCTCGAATTGCTGTTGATCAGCTTGGTGGATGGTACAAATGATGGTCTGGCCTGCTTCTGCGAGTCTTCTCAGAAGCTTGACTATGTTAAGAGCACCTTGACTATCCAGACCGCTGGTCGGTTCGTCAAGGAAAAGGGCAATCGCTGGCTTTGAACAAAGCTCGACGCCAATAGTGGTCCGCTTACGTTGCTCAAGACTGACTGACTGAATGAGCGCATGTTGCAGTTCGGCCAGGCCAAGGATCTCGAGGACTTGATCAACGTAAACGAGCTTGTCGGCTTTTGATACATCGGCATTTTGCCTGAGTATAGCTGAGAACTCGAACGCTTCTCGGATGGTTGCTGTTTCGACGTGAATGTCAGCCTGTTGACAGAAACCTAAGTCTCGAACGATTGAGGTGTTGACGTCCTGACTGCCAATTTTGATGGCACCAGTCACATGTCCTGGTGCCTGTTGCGTTAGGACATTCATGACTATGGCTTTGTTAGTTCCTCTTCTGTGGAAGTCTGATGGCTTGGGTAATACTAACGAGTACTCTTTCCAGCCCCGGACACGCCTACCAAAGCTGTCAAAGAGCCCGGCTCACAAAATCCAGAGACATCATCTAAAAGCTGTTTGCTAGAACCAGCATGTTGGACGGTATAGTTCAAATTACGCCATGAGAATGCGGTCTTTGGCGCCGAGATGGTTCCCTGCGATATTTGATGTGGCGTTGTCTCATTCGGGAGCTCTAGGGGCACAGTCTTCTCAGAGCAGTCTCCGTCGCTTTCCTCATCTTTCAGCACAGTCTTCTGTCGATCACAGGGTTTGTGTGAAAACTCAAGGGAGCTTCCAGCTGATGCCCACAAAACCTTCTCGGCCAGTAGTATGTTAATTGTAACACAACCAATTAAGAACAGAATCAGGATACCAAAGTTCCTACCAACGTTGCTATAATAGAATCCGAAGGTTCCTTTGAGATATTCGTCACCATTGAGTGTCAGTTGCCCAGTACCTATTCCTTCGTAAGCACAGCTCTGATATGCTACATTATCATAGCCCGGTCCGGAAGGTATCACGGATCCTTGTTCGCAGGGGAATTGACGTCCATGAAATTCCATTGCCATGATGATCTCGAAAGCGTACAGAGCCGGTGTCAGATACTGGCATCAAACGTCAGCGACTTTTCTGGAAGAGAGAAGAAGCACAAAATCCGGACGGGTGGAAATGGCGGAGTGGAAAACGGATCAGACTCACAGCAAGCCAGCCTACCCAGGGGACATCAGAAATGAGTTGGTCGACACCACGAACATAGCCTCCAAATATCATGGACACCAAAAGGTACAATCCGCTGTATCGTAAGGCAATCTCTAAGCGGGGAGAAGCGGCAGCGAAAAGCCGATAGCTGGCTGTGAACGCCATAGCACTCAACACAACCGCCAGATCGAATGTGAAAAAATTGCCTGACTGAAATCACTTATCAGCATTGCCCTTTTGTAGAGTATGCAACGTTAGTCTGCAATGACACTCTAGCTTGTAGGAACTGCTGGAAGTGCCGCCAGACTAATGTGTTTTATGGGATGGATCTCGTACCTCACGCTTCATACCTCCTAGAAAATATGCCACAAGCGAATAAAGTGTTGACAAGAAGACTGTAACCGGAATATCCATGATAGTTTTGGCCATGACTACGGCTCCAGGTCTCACCATGGCGAATCTTCTCTGTCGATTGACGACAAATCTATCAGAGAAAGCACTTTCAAGCTCAGCGAGCTGAAACCAAGCGACCAATACTGCAGAATAGAAGCTGAATCCACCTCGGGAGTAAACACCTGCAGTATCGTTTGGCATTTTGTAGAACATTGATCCAATGAGAAACGCAGATACGAAAATACACGTGAATCTTGTAATGAATGTAGCCATTTGTCCTTTCATCTGCCATATCTGTCGTTGTAAACATAGCTGTACTTGGCGCGCGAATGACGTGTTGTAAGACGAGCCCGAAGAGACGAATCGAGACTTTCTTTCTTGTGCGCGTTGCTGAATGATCGAACCATTCGTAATTGACTCGGATGCACTTCTTTCGGAGGCCGGCCGAAGTCTATCTGTCCCACTCAATTGCTCGGCTTCGTAGAGACGAATTTCCGTCTCTATATCTTTAAAGGTCTGGCTCTGCCGAAAAGCGTACTCAAGATTTTTGGAACCCCGCACCGCACAGGATTCGCAACCTGACCGAATGTTATCTCTGCTAGATGTGGCTACACTGGTAAGAAAACTGCTCATTGTTTGCCTTTGCTGTCGTTCGTAGCCGAGAGAGTTAAAGTAAGATTCGGCATCACGTGCTGGTCCCTGATAAAGCATTCTACCGTCTTCAATAAGCATGACTTTGTCAACAAGGTCATACATAGCGTCCGATGCCTGGTATATCGAAACAACCATTGCCCTCTCACAGGTATCAGTCATGATTCGGAGTGACCTCATATAGTCAAGTGCAGACGAGGAGTCTAGACCCCGTGTTGTTCCATCCCAGGCATTGACCGATGATCCGGAGGCCATTGACTCGAGAATCGAAACTCTCTTCCGTTCGCCACCAGAAATTCCTCGAATGAAGTCGTCGCCGACAAGTGTGTCCATAGCGTGAGACATCCCAAAGATGCGCCCGAATTCTTCAAGAAATCGCGGCACTTCATGAAGTAGCTTTCTAGGTGTCTTATTCATGAGAGCAAAGTCGAGCGTCTGGCGGACGGTCAAGGTCGGTAAATGGGTGTCATCTTCAGGTATGTAGGCGACGGATCCTCGGAAATGTTTCATGACATTTGAGGGTGCCATGCCGGAGTAGTCCAGGTGGCCTCTTACTCCTAGGAATGAAGCGTGGTCATTTGCAATGGTACGTAGGAAGGTGCTACAGCCCGATCCTGGGTTCCCCAGCACGAGCATCATCTCACCATTTCGAACGATTCCCGTAAAGTCACGAATCAGGGCCTGACCGTCTTCGATGCTCGTAGGAAAAAGAAGCGGCTGGATGGATCCCTCGTAGATATCTCGAAGAGTGAAAGTCCTCCATAGAGCCTCCTTTAGTGTCTTAGCTTTGACCGGACCTCTAGCTCGACCGTATGTGGTGAGTGATTTGAAGCAAACGCTCAAAGGAGGAGGACGGTGGTTTGATTTGACATAGGCTTCGAAATCAGTGAAAGCGGGATCTATGCCCTGAGATTTTGACGACCTGTCAGTGACAGATCGATACAATTCTGCTGCAGCCTCCTCAACTTGATCGTTGATCTGCACATGAAGCTGATTGTCATATTGTAGACGTCGAAGGTCTGCATTGTCGTAATCTGGAAAGTTGTTGTAAGCAGATACACGCCTAAGTGGAGCAACGTATGATGGCATGATGAAGTGAATTAATACCCATTCACAGGGAATTTTTGGAACGTGCAATCAGACTATGAAAAACGTCAGGACGTACGTACCTACACAATTATATGTATAGGTCAGTCAATCGCTTCAGAACGGAAATTTTTTAGATGCTACTTGACTACCGCATCGAGAAGCATACCGAGATCGTATTGCAAGGGTGGTAAGACGCCACTCTCGCAAACATCGCGGGCCATGCTTTGACAGTCTAAGTGAAAGTCGTGATGCGTCATACTAAGTGGAGCAATAGAGTCGAACGTTACCAGATACGGGTGACAAAGTGCAGCTACCCACATCCGGAAAGGACCACACTCTACTTAGTCAGCCCTACTCTAACCCCGGCACAGGTACGTTCTCGGGGACGACAGGTCCAACTTCAGCATCAGCACAACGTCACTTCCAGCAACTTGTTTGGTTGAGTCGCTATCGCTCAATTGTAGGTAGCGTCCCAGCGCCGAATCACGGTCACAGTCTATTGCATGCCTCCTCGGAGCGTCATGTCCTGTACTTGATAACGACTTAACGAGATCCCAGAGCTATGAGGATATGAGAACATGCTATACCTGTCGACGTCGTAGACTTATCTGCGATGGGGGTTCGCCACATTGCAAGAAATGTGAATTCAACGGCGTTAAATGTCTTGGCTATATTAAGCCCTTGACTTGGATAGGCGGCGCGGCTACAAAAGGGCACCTAAAGCAATTATCGAACTCAACAGCAGGCCTGGCAGTCTCTGGTGTTTGCAAGAATAACCTACCTGCATCCCAAGCTATACCTTCACCACCCTTGGCCTTGACAGAACCAATTTTCCAAGATTTGAGTCCGGAGTCACGGTTTCTCGTAGACTATTGTAAGTCTACTGCTATAAAAGTCACTTCACATATGTTCTGACAAGTATGCTAGTCGAAAAACGAATTTGCCATGTCCTAGTACTCGTCGACACAGAGAGGAACCCATACAGAAGCCTTCTTTCCTTTATTGGCCCATCTAGGGGTGTTTTACATGCTGTGAGTGCTATTTCTGCATGTCACATGGTGCACAGCATTACAGGCGTGCCTGTTCTCTCTATGCCTCAGGACGGGACCGCGAAGCTCTCAGAAGTCTCGCAGGGCTCGTCGTCAATAAGTCATTCCACTTTGGCAGTATCAGGTCTGCTCAAAAGTCTCTTCCAGTCTAAGCATAGAGCCCTGAGATGCTTGTACGATGCACTTTCGAATCCTCAGGAAGGACACGAATGCTCCACGTTGACTACGGCCATATTGTTGGTTGCCTTGGACATCTGGGAGAGCGGCACTCGATCGTGGAACGTTCATCTAGAGGGAGCGAAAAAGCTACTAGAGAGCTGGGCCGAGAGCGGCCAACTGGAGTCAGTGAATCTAAGGATGCTTACTGGCTTGATAACGTGGGTAGCTCCATCAGATATATACTCCGATAATGCTAATCATGGCAGGTTGGAGACCTGCGGCTCAACATTGATGCTACCAGGGGGGCTCAAGACACCATTACGATCGCTTCTGGCGGATATACCAATTCGTGATGCTCCTGATACCTCAATTGTTGGATGTCCTTATGAAATTGCATCTGCAATAGAAATAGTTACTTGCCAACGTCAGATGTATACATCAGCGCGTAGTGATTCGGATCAAGCAACGCAGCCCAAAGACGCAGATGTCAAGGTCCTTTTGCAGACTCTCCAGGATCTGGAAAAGTTCGATATCGATCACTGGGGTCACGAAATGGTGCAGGCAAGCTCCCATCATTTATCACTGTCGTTGAGTGATCTCATGCATGTTGGAAGGATATGGAAGCTTGCCGCCATCATCTACGCCCAGCGTATCTACTCCAACGCAACAATGCAATTCGCAAGCCCTCAGTCGCTCGTGAACGACATCATCGCAGAGTATATCAGTGTTCAACATCTTGACGACGCAACTAAAATACTCATGTGGCCTGCATTCATTGCTGGTGCTGAGAGCACTACAACACGTCAGAGACAATACGTTCTCCATATACTCGATCGCATCTGGCAAATCACACTTAGTGCCAATGCAAAGAATGCTGCTTTGACTCTTCAACAGTACTGGAAACAACGAGAATCTCAAACAGATGCCTGGAATTGGACCAACGAAACCTCATTGCTGAATGACTACTGGCTATTCTTTTGAAGAGTTTCAGTAAATGAGCATATCTTCGTGTCGTAGACCATAAACCTTGCAATACTGGCGGTAACGCTGAAGCAGCACTTCAATAGCCATGACACCGATGTGCGCTATAGGGCCGACTTCAGTAGTACTCATAGCTCTCGTCGCTGGCCTTAAGCTACCATGTACTCATTATCGAAATTGTAAGCTTTAAAACACGAGACGATCATCAGTAGACGCTCACAAGCAAGATACAGCATTCCGCTACTACGGCAGACCCACTTGTTAATATCATGGCGACTGGTCACACCTATAACCATTAAATCCTACGCTACGATGGCTGACAATGCCATTGAATCCCCATCGAGGCCTCCGGGCTCCCGGTGTCCACCTCCAACTCCCTCAAATTTACCTGAGAATTGATTCATGGACGACTATCAATTGTATACATTCAAAACACCATGCGTCTGACGAATATGATGCCTACGTGAGGCTATTCTATTCACGTACATGGGTGAAATTGAAAGTTCCCATCGATTGGCTCAGCATGAGTGGTTGGCGATGGACAAGTGTGGCTGGCTATCGGAAATCATTCATGATCCTGTAGCCTAGCGATTGGGGGCGGTAGTGTGGCGTTCGCTCGCCTCTTATTCTCGTCACTGCCTAGTCCGGACTGGGTCTCTTGTTTATACAGAACTTCACTTCAGCCTAATTTGATCATCATAGCTAATCGTTTCCCTAAGTGCCACTTTTCTATCTACCTGGAGACAAGAGTTGATCTCACCGAGTGAATGTGATACATCCAATTTAACGACACTCCATGTCTCCGCGCGCACAGGGTTAAACCCCCAAACAACCCAGTCACTCTGCCGTTCCAGGTGGCACAGCACCCTAACCGAGCGAGTTCACTCGACCCGAGCTCATCCATTTATGGAAAAACCCATGTACAAGCCCTTGCATCCCTCAAACGCTATGTTTCCTAACCTCCCAAGATCGCACGGAGTCGTGCGCTCGCGTTATCGTCTACCACAACCCCCAAAGACTGCGCTCTTGCCTTGACGGCACTAGAGCACCATATAAATAATACACTGCATATACCTACGACACTGCGAAATGCACTTGCTATCCACCCTCCAGCGCACCTCACGCCTCTTCCAGCGCTCCATCTCAAGCAGCAATTCCTCGCAAGCCCCGCCAGAATCCCCAGAAGCAGCACCTCCAATGCCATCCACGCCCAGAATCGCCAGCACCACCACAATAGGTATCGGAAACTCCCTCCACGCCAACATCCGACCCTTCAGCACACCTTTCTGGGTGCTTGTCAGTCTGAGCACGCCAATCCTGATCTTCGCGATTTTGGGCCTGTACTTATGGCTCATGCACCGCGTGCGCGAGAAGCGGCGGCTACGGAATGGGAATCGTGTTGGGACGCCGAAGAGTGTAGAGGCGGGAGCTGGGGTCTTGCGACCAGCGGTGCTGGGCAGGGACGCTGGGGCGTTACAAGCAGGCGGTGATGGACATGGAGAGGTGCGGGATAGCCTGGATATTTTGAAGGAATCTGATCTCGGCGAGAAGCAGAGGAGGGCGATGAGGAAGGAGAAAGGGGAGAGGAGGTATGGGAGGTATTTCTTGAGAGGCAGCGATGAGGAGCTGCATTGGATGGGATGATATGGTGCTGTCGACGACGCTGGCGTTCATGTCAGCACTGTGGTATCTTTGTGAGGGCTCTCTTTGTTGCTAGGTTGGTGTGAATATACCAATGCCAACGGCCACGCATTGTAAATGGACATAGTGCCTGAGCAGGAAAATGCCATACAACATGCGAATTACTTCCAGCACCACGAGCTACCATTCCCTTGTAACGCCTATCGAGTACTCGAGCAATTTTTCACGAGGCACCGCAGCAGCACTGTGAACAGCCAACAGGATGTACATATACAGCACTACCCGGCCCTACCTCTCTGCCTCTCTTCCGCCCCTCGAAATCCTCACATTTGAACAAAATGCCCCCACCAGCCATTCTCGAAAGAGCCGCGAGCACCGAAATCACGTCGCTGTCTCACGACACTATGGAAGGCTCCAACATGCTCGGGACCCATGCTTCAGCCTTCACCTCGGCGCCGTCGTCGACCAGCGTACCCTCTAATGTGCCATCCTCAGCACCGCCGCAGATCACAATCGCCATCATCACCCCTACACAACCACCAGCATCCGAGCCAACGTCGAAAGCCTCGTATTCAGGAAGTTCTTTCAGGATTGCTCACGTTATCATTGTTGCTGCCGTGCTGGGCACGCTGGCTGTTCTATCGGCAATGTGGATAAGGCGCAAGCGAAAGAGAAGAGCAAATCGTGCAGAGGCAGCTGCAGCAGAAAGATGGCCAGCTCTAACTGTGGAGGAAGATTTGCCACCGTACAGGAGATATGCAGAGAGTATCAAATCTGGGACTGGGTCATTCCTCAAGAATTGGGTACCAGGACGCAAGAACTAATAGGTCGAAGCCAGGCACATCAGAGATACAGCCCATTACCACTATGATTATTATTTCTTCTCCACCAATGGCTTATCACGCAGTGCTTTCAAGTTTGCTGTGATGGTGGAATCAATACGCTCTAGGGATACTTCATGTAGTGCCACTGCCTTCGCCGTCTCCCCTATCATTACCCTGCCCATCTCTTCTCCTCTTCTTCCACCATCGCAGCTTAAACCATACTCCTGGTTCCTCTTGCCTTTGACCGTCTCCACTTACTATCCGCGACTGTCCTATGCTTTCATCAGTATCATCTCCGTCGCTAGTGGCAGCCTGGTCATCATCACGGAGAGCGGTAAGTTGTTCACGTAAGGGCGTCTGAGTTAATCCTTCCCACCATGATTTTCGACGCCATTGATCGAAAGTGCTACTTCGAGCTGGGCTCCTGATGTTGGTCCGCAGGGGAGGCAGGGTTCCACTCCTGGGTCGCTTATACCCTTCAGCACGTAAAGATTGCGGAGAACGTGGTGCGTGTGCAATCGAACTTCTCCTCTGTTCCGATGCATCATTCAATTCGTCCCATATCTCCTCGGCTTCGGCGCTAATTGTAACATTGCGCCTCACCGTGCGCCGTGGACTGAAACGGCCAGGACTTTTTCTACCTCTTACAGCTCCAGATGGCGCCGTAGGCGCACGAAGTAGAGGAGTGCGTTCATCCAGACTAGACTTTCTCCGATTTAAGGGAGCTGAGAATTGGTGCACTGCTTGGGGAGGACTGAATCCATGCTCTTCATCAAAATCCTGCCGATAATGGTCTTCAGAGAGGAACGGCTCGATTCCTTCCTGATCGTCCCCAATGGTCGCACTCACAATTCCCATCCCAGGTGTCAGCGCTGTGACCGGAGGTTGGACGACACCGGACTGTGACATGTGTGACGTTGGAGAAACTCCGGGATCTTGCTGCTCCAGTCTCCAACTGAGCGCTAGTACGCCAGCGAGTAGAATGACGGTACCGACTGCAACAAGTCCGGCGTGTAGAGGTGTTAATCGAGAAGTCTGGTTGAAGTAGATGAGTCCATCTATGATCGCGATGATGTTGTAAATGCAAAAAACAAAGGGGTATAGAACACTGGTGCTGCAGAGCTTAAGTCCGCGGTGGAGGTACCAAAGTTGGGACAGCGCCAAAAATATAAGACCTAGAAGAATCATCCACGACTGCCAACGGTCAAACTGATTACGCCTGTCGACAATGGTACGGACGAGTAGTTCGACGGCTGATTTGGCTAGGAGGAGACAATGGGCTGACAGAACGCCGCTAACGAAGCCGAAAAACATTCCTCGCAGAAGACGGGTACGTGTGGACTGCCTCGCCGAGAACCGTTTGACTGCCCACGCCGCTACGATTGACATAAGCACCATGACCGCGGTACCGATAAGCCATACAATGAAGTGAGGACGAGCCAAGAGGTTTAGAAGTTCGTTGAGAGTGTGAGAGGGTTCATTCATCGAGCCGTAGATGCCGATCAGGATGGCTCCTCCAGCCACCAGGACAGTCCCAAACAGCGAATACCGCGTGAAAGGTTCCTTGAGGATTACCGCAGCGCATATAGAGTTGAACACGAGGCCAGACTGGTTCATCCTGTCAGCACAGAATATATCGTACACATAGACACTTTGCAACTGACTGCTTGTAATGTTGAGAGCACTGGTAGCGGTAGAGTCGTAATCTGAATGGTACTGCCAACAATATTGCTCAGCAAGAACATTCCCATGCCAATCTGCCACCGTCTTCTCCGGTATGGGGGCCTTCTTTGTTCGTATTCATCCTTCTCTTCTTCCAGTAAATGCGACTTTCGCTGGAGGGTCAGGCCGACACCTTGAATAGCCGTAGATAGGAGTCCCACGATAACGCCGAGCTACGAGTTGATTAGCGGTGTCGAGGGTGAATGATTGGAGTAGTTGTAAGTCCCTCTCCCGTCGTGATCAACGTAGGTGGTTCAGGCGGTCTTGCGGAGGAAGGGTGCTCACCGCAAAGCTGGCGCCCTGAGAAAGGTCCACCATTCAAGTGTACAACAACCAAGACTTGGTAGCAAGGCCTTCTTGCTACCGAGCCAACATGGGCATTGTGAGCGTATTTGAATCAGTTTTTGGTCGTCTTTCAGTTTGAGCGAGGCGGCGCAACTTCAACAGCTTCTTCGATAATGAATAATACTAGGGATTCAACAATGGCCAAGGTTGAACGTGTGCGGCGGAGAAGGCGATGCTGGTAGGTGAAGGAGGTTGGATTTATATGCAGCTCGTGGGTTGATAAGGTACCTCGCTGCCAGTATTCAGTCACCTGGGCAGTTGCAGTTATGCGGTCTATTGCGTTTCGTGACGCCGTTTCGCCATAGAAGGGCTTGGCGTCGCGCTAAAGATCGGGTGGTCCTGGACAACAGGGCCCTGACCTTGACCTCGATCAACCTCGTGGATAGGAAGCTGCAGCTAACGTCTACTTCATACACCCGATCCTCTGTTCACCACATCTGCGTTAACTTGCTCTTCATATCATCCTCGTATCACACGCCCGTCATGTCTCAGGTGCACGCAATGTCGGACGACCAGGTATGCACCTCATGATGCTACGGAGAGAGCTCAATGGACGGCCACTAATTGGGTGCAGGTCTCGGCGGAGTTGAAGAAGATGACTGCGTTCATCAGGCAAGAAGCTCTCGAAAAAGCCAACGAGATCCAAATTAAGGCCGACGAGGAGTTCGCCATTGAAAAGTCCAAGCTAGTCCGTCAAGAAACCGCCTCCATCGACACCGCATACGAAAAGAAGTTCAAGCAAGCGTCGATGTCTCAGCAAATCACAAGATCTACCGTTTCAAACAAGACCCGCCTCCGACTCCTAAGTGCCCGACAAGAGCTACTAGACAAGCTGTTTGAGGAGGCGCGGGGGAAGCTGCCCACAGTGACCAAGGACAAGAAGAAGTACCAAGAGGTGTTGAAGGGTCTGATTCTTGAGGGACTGTATGCTCTGTCGGAAAACAAAATCCAGTTGAGGGCACGGGCATCCGACTATGATATCGTCAAAAAGAGCATAGACGACGCGCAGAAGGAATACAAGAGCAAGACTGGCAGTGACGTCAAAATAGAGATTGATGAGAAGGAGCCGCTCCCCAAAGATTCGTAAGGTCCATTGTAGCTCAATATATTGATACATAAGCTAACGAAGTGACAGGGCTGGCGGTGTAAGCATTATTGGTGGAGGTGGAAAGATTGATATCAACAATACCTTTGAAGAAAGGTTACGGCTATTAGAGACTGATGCCCTACCAACTATTCGAGCGACGCTGTTCGGCGAGAACGAGAACCGTAAATTCCACGATTGAGCGCAAGGTTCCATACGGCTTGTGTGTAACTGGCCCTACGAATATAGAGATAGCGGTCATAGTGGAGTTGACGAACCAAGCTTGCAAGAACGGTCTAAAGACCACAGTGTAGACTATACATTTTGTGCAAGCAACCCAAACGATGTATTTGGCCATAAGATGCTGAGAAGTCTCATCTAGTAGTTCCACGTTGCTACAATTGGAACGCCATATGTCGTACCTGCTTAAGTGATGTGTCTCAACATCACGTGGCGTCATCGTCTACTCCAACGTCCTCACAACCTCGCACTCGAACGTGTCTGATTGAGTTTTTCAGCATCCTCCTTCGTAAACTCAATGAACGGCTGTGATTCCTTCGTTGCAACGCCTGGGTTGTTCACCGCTGCAGGGCACCAAAGCAACCTATCAGGCGTGCCACCCTCCGTCATATCCGCCTCAATCTTTTCTAAATCAATACCCGCCTTCTTATACGGCACCTTGTTCGGTTTGTTATTGTGCATGGGCTTGTAATCAACCATGATACGCAGGAAGACCGGCACAGCGTACTTCGGCAGCTTTTCGTGCAGATACGCATGCAGCGCCTTGAAGTCGAAGTTACTTCTCCGGGAAGGCTCAATGTAGATTGCAGCACAACCGGCGCGACCGTCATTTCCAGGCACTTCGACGCCGTATACCATAGCCTCACCGATGCCGGGGTAGTGGCCGAGGGCCTCGGTCACTTCTTGAGTTGATACGTTTTCGCTCTTCCATCGGAATGTATCGCCAAGCCTGTGATCATGTTAGTATAAGGTTTTGGGCCAAAATTTGAAGATTAAGCTGACCTGTCCATAAAATACCATAGGCCGTCTGGAGTCCGCCGCAAGGCATCACCTGTTCTATAGTAGACATCACCCTTTTCGAACAGGTCCGACACGAATTTCTTATTCGTCGCTGAGTCGTTCTCCCAGTACCCGACAAAGGCCTTTTTGTTTGGAATCTTGACGACAATCTCCCCGCCTTCTTCGTATGGTTTCCTAATTCCCCAGCCGGTCTTTGGGTCTCTCGCGATCTCCTCAGTCTCCGGGTCGATTTCCACAGGGATGTAGACGTTGCGAAGCATAAACCGTAACAGCACACCATGGTGTCCGACCGCTGTGGCTTTATAGGGACCACCCGCCAAGTTGAAGAGACCGAACATGCCCTCAGTGCTATTAAAGAACTCGCCGATTCGCGCGATACCGAAACGCTCCTGGAACCTCAGCCACACGTCCGGTCGCAATCCGTTTCCATACATGAGCGAGATACTGTGATCTTTGTCTTGGGAACTTGGCGGTTGATTCAAGAGATATCGTGCTGTTTCGCCAACGTACACAAAGGCCGTCGCGTGTGAAGCTCGGACATCGTTCCAGAATCCTGACGTGCTGAACTTTTTACCAATGCAGAGAGTCATGCCTCCAGAGACGCAGGTCACGGCCATGGTGTTACCAGTACCGTGGTAGAGTGGCATACAATTGTACCAGCGGGTCCCGTTCGGGCCTGTCTTTAAGTCTAAAGCGCGGATTCGACTCGATCCTAAGTCGTTCGCTCTTTGCATCTCGAATGCACATGCCTTGGGATGGCCGGTTGAGCCACTTTATGTTTGATCAGCGATTTCGACGAGTCTTTGTTCTTTTCTTGAGTGCACTAACCTCGTGTATAGGAGACACATTGGGAATTCTGGCTTCATGTCTTCTCTGAGATGGTCACCTGGTCTTTCCGGCTTCAACGCATTAATCTGGCTTTTGAGGGTACTATCCAGAACAATGATGCGGATCCCTAATTCTTGTTCGATCCCCGAGCGCGATTCGTCGATTCTTGCTCGACACCCATCATCCTCATCCACGATCATGATCTTGGTGCCGCTAACCTTCAAACAATGTATCAGAGCATCGCCAGCCAGATTATAGTTGATCAATGCCGGTGCACAGCCCATAGCCCACGTCCCTAGCTGGGCAAATACGAACTCCGGATGATTCATAAGGTAGAAAGCACACAGCTGTCCCGGTTCCATCCCAAGGTTGATGAAGAACTGTGCATAGCGACAGGATTGGTCGTACGCCTCCGACCACGAATACACTCCATTTCGAGACCAGATGCAATCCATGTTTGAAGATGCTAGGAGCCGCGCTTGCTCTTCGAATTGGTACCACACATCGACTCGCTTGCTCTTGACTGCAATTGAATCAGATCTTTCTCTGCAAGCATGGCTATGGAGTCAGCGTAACTTACTTGCTCGGTTAAGCTCCCATCCCGCGCGCTTCAACACCGACAGCGTCTTCAGATCCTGTCTCACGTGGTATTTCGCATCGAGATACGAGGTCGCCGCCGTCAAGCCTGCCACGGCCGCAATGCCAGTTGCTGAGCGCAAATATTAGCATCAGTCACCTCCATGATCTCAATCCAGTGAACCACTCACTTATAGCCATGCTTACGGACTCTTGAAGCCAAGGAGAAACAGTAAACAGTGATACTGCCGAGCAAACAGCTATACAGATTGTACCGCCGCGCGAGGTCGAATGCTACGGCTGCTACCCTACCCGTTATGCCGTGGAGCCTCGGGCCATCACGCCTGCCTGCCAGCTAGTGACAGTTGCCATGATTTGCTGCCGACGTTTGGGGCCCCACCTCCGCTCAAGCCGTCCATAGCATTGCCTGGTCGAACTGCCGACTGGTGACTGCTAACCCATGACAGAGACATAACCGGCTGGGATTGGTATTCGCGATGATGGGCTGAGCCGGCAATGTCCCTGAACAATAGGCCCTATTATGCAGCTTTACTCACTCTATGCAATGAATTCTCCGGCCCCATCATGGCCACCCAATCATAAAACCCCAAGATGCTATACTTTAAGCCTAATGTGGACTAGCAAAACCATTCAAACCCAACCATCCTTGAGATTGTCCAGGTTTCTTAAGCATCAATCATATATATTATCATCCACTTCAATCGCCATGCGACCAGTGAGTTCTCTGGTCTATTTTAACATTAAGTAGCCAGCCTCGTCACGCTACAAAACAGTGGCTAGAATCAGTCGCTAGACGTAATCGTCACGGTGTACCATAGCGATTTTCTATCTGTAACTAGACGCTAGATAATAACATCCTATAGAGATTATGATCTGTTATCTACAACGTACTATATATAGATATATTGATCTAAATGTATTAATTCAAGTTTATCAGCTGTCTATCGTATAATACATTAAGATTTAAAGGTTTAGTCAAGATAAGAAATAGAAGTAGAGTAATAAGTTTATATTATAGAAATCTACTATTATAGACATCTACTATTATAGAATAGAGCATATGCAAGTCGTTAAACTGCTACCGGGTTTCGGGTTTCGGTTTAGGCGCCTACCAAGATTGGGAGACGGTAACTTGGATCTTGTAAAGTGCAGTAGCGAATCATATCGCACCATCCTCTACTGAAGAGGTAGTACTGTGCACATCGTTGAAGTTCTACCTGGAAACGGGTTTCGCTTTACGGTATTTTGGGGTCTGCGTAAAGCTCAGTAGCGAATCATATCATAGGGAACCCCTCTCAAAGAGGTAGTACTATGTATATATCGTTGAAGTTCTATCCTAAAAACGGGTTTTCAATTTAGGTGCTCACTAGGATTGGAAAACGGTATTTGGATCACTATAAAAAGCAGTAGCGAATCATATCATAGGAACCTCTCCTAAAGAGGTAGTACTGTATATATCGTTGAAGTTATACCTAGAAACGACTTTTAGTTTCAGCGTGTAGTCAGACTGGAAACAGGATTCTGTTCTGCTATGCATAGAGTGTAGTAGCGATTCGTATAGTAGCATTCTTTCGAAAGAGGCAATAATACATACATCGTTGAAGTCCCAACTAGAAACGGGGTTTTTTGGTTTAACTTTCCACCGAGACTGGGAAACGGGTTCTGTGCTGCTGTGAACAGAGCATAGTAGCGAATTACATGGTATTATTCCTACCAAAGAGGTAATAACACATATATCGTTGGTCTTCTGGCTCAAAAACGGGTTTCGGTTTTCGATACTTCCTTGTAGGACTTGCGAATAAGGTTTAGATCTGCGCAGTAATTACCTGTGTAGCATATTGACCTATATCACAACGATACGCTCTTCCTCGTTACACTTACTTCCAGAAAACGGATTCTGGGGTTAGGAAGTCTTATCTTCGAGACGTGAAGTCGTTCTTCGATATTGAAAACTGGAATGAGTAGAAAAGTGTAGAGGGTTCTGATTGCCTGTTGAATATATATATATATGTGCATAGTCTGAAGTCATTGTATACGACAACAAGAACATCATAACCTCCCAGTCTTATATCTCTACAAGCTTTCCAACATGGCAATCGTCTATATACGTACTCGTCTCTACAATTGGTCTGGCAGGTATCACATCTGCATCTCCATCTACACTATCTTCACAGGACACCCAATCCGCCTAGCCGTCGCACACTATTGCTTCGCCTGCTTGGCGTGATATTGCGCTCGGTATCGCAAATCGGGCGTCGCAAATCGCTTCATCCTTGGTCCTAGCCACTTTTTCAGGCCTATAAGCAATCTCGCTCGGCAAGGTCAGCATCCATGGCTGGAGAACGATTCTGTCTGGGCTGGTGCGGCACACTGGACTGTAATGCTTAATAGTTGTAGGCTTGGGCGTATCATCTCGGTTTCGGTTTACTAGTATTCCTTGGGTGCGGCGCGGTCGTACGGGGCTTAGTCTTGTCCTCCAGGGTTTTCCATCGAGCTTGGGAACGTTCGCAAGGGATCGAAGGTTGGTGATTGATGATTTGGGTGGGCATGTTCCTTGATAGATACTACAGCTCTTGACTCAAATGAAATTCTACGTTGTATCCTTGATAAGTCAGTGACAGTGAATTGTATGGAAAAGCAGCAGACTGCTCGGTGGTGCTTGATAAGCTCTATTTTTAGATCATGGGAGCTATTATTCTTGGCGGGGGCGGGCTTTGGGACGCCACAATATGCTTTTGGAGTCTGGTTCGCAACGGTTTGGCTGTGTTAAGGTGACAGTCGATCATGGTACGTCGTGCTTCGTTGAAAGATGTGCAGGCGGTCCTAAATGATAAACGCTGTCTTGATGTCGGCTTAAGCTCTACGACTTTGACGAGATTCTGTACCCTCGGGGTCATCGACAGACTGCGCCCTAACATGCGATATGAATTTCAGCTGCTCTTTTTGGGGAGATTGGTGGAGCTAGCGGTGGCTAGTGCGGATGTTGCGACTGTTGCGAATGCGAAGACCTGTGGCTGGACAGGTTGGCGGTCTTTCGGATGTCGTCTCTCCGCATCTCACAAGCTCCCAACTCTCATAACCCAGAAGGCGCAGCACATCACAATATGAGAGATCCGCGAGCCAAGCTTTTGGACGAGTCAGATCTCACGAGATTCGCTAGGGCGTCCAATCGAGTCGCATTCACCCTGGTTGAATCTGCGGTGTCAGATTCTAGCTGTCCAGATACATGCAATTATGGTGAACTCTGATTGGCTGAACGATGCGAATGCTTTCAAAGCTGATGCCCTTACCTCGTCCTTGAGGGCTATTTTAAGAGACCTTACACAATCTACTACCAGTTTAGCCTCTTCAAGCCCCTGGCGCGCGCTGCCCTGAGCTGCTGTTGTTATATCTTGTATCGATTTCCTGTGATGCCTATGGAATGTGTTATCTTCTCTATGAGCTATAATCCCTTTTCGGCCAAATAACAGTTTGCGCTTTCAGATCTTTATTTATCTTTGTCTATCTTTGTCGCTCTTCTTCACAATGTCGTACGCAAGCCTCGGCCACGATACAGCATATCATGGCTCACACAGCCGTTCTGCTAGCGAGAGTCGTGTTAGTAGTGACCGTGAACCTCTTAATCGTGGTAAGTGCAACACCGATCATTGAGAGCATCTTATGCTGACAATCGCAGAACACTCCGACAGCCTCTACGATCCTCACACTCGCACGGGGCGCCCATCATTTTCCCGCTCAGCCCAGAACTCGCCTGCAATGAACCCCCGCATCGAAGTCAATGTCCATGAGCCCGAGAAAATCGATCTCGACCGCAAGTTTCCTAACGAATCGGCTGGAATCATACCTACCCGCCCTCGTGGCCCGTCTGGCTGGGCACGCTTCCTCGCACGCATCCGCACCATCGAAATCGCTCTCCTTCTCATTGGGTCCCTGATCGTCGTCGGTGTCAACGCGGCAGTCATAGTGACGTACAATAAGCACCGCGACACGATGAAGATCCGCGACAATGCTTGGACGGGTCATCAGGACAAGTGGCCGGTGTGGCCGTTGGAGGGTATGGACACAAAGCCTATCACGGCATACCTTGCAGTCGGATCTGTCAACGCGCTCGTTGCCCTTTGTATGGTACTCTTGAGCTTCCAGAAAAGTTTTCGCCTTATGCAGGGTGTATGCACGGAGATTGTCACGATGTTGGTGACAGGTGCGTTTTTTGTCCTGTGGGTTTTGTTGGCGGTGTTCTTGCAGTACCAAGCGGCAGGAAAAAGTGGGCACCACAGCTTCGTGTAAGTGTAAACAGATACTGTCTGGAGTTTTATGTTGTTACTAATGAAGTACAGGACTTGGTCGTGTTCGCATACGGGCGGGATGTTTAGCCCAGACAGCTTCAGCTTCAAAAACATGTGCGCGTTGTCGAGGGCTGGGCGTGCCGGTGGTTGGGTTGCTGGAGCGGCGAACTTGTTGATCTTCCTCACGATCGTATTTGGGCTTTGCGCACAGCGGAAGACTAGGGGTTACTCTCAGGTCTCAGGGGGTGCGTGGATGCCGAAATGGAGCCGTGGTCGCAAGTAAAGACGTCGAAGGCGACTATAGTGTCGTTGCTTGCAGAGATGTCTAAATTGACAGCCGGGCTGGCGGACGTGTTCAAGCGTATGCATGTGTACAGGAGAGGTGCCAGAGTCGCTTGTCTTGATTGCTTTCCCACTGTTCGAAGTTACGGTCCTGACTGGTATAAATCAACCAAATAGAATCCGGTTCTTTAGTAGTCATGATGCCCTTTCCTGAAGAATTTCATCCTGCCATGCATGAATTATATTCGAGTAACAAAGAATGTTCTCGGGTGAACTCGATGTTGGAATTGAAAGGCCGTGTTCAGGTGGTACCCTCGTATCCTGGCGACCTATCAATTTCCATCATTCATTCATTCGTCGACGAAGTCGGCCATCCCGTCAGATACGGCTTTTTTTACCTGCACGGAGGCTCGTCCCATCTCCCCTGCCTCCCTTTGTGCTTGCTGAACCCCTTTCGTGATTGCGTTTTGAAACAGAGCATGGAAAATACGCTGTCGATCTTCTCGGTCTTCGTACATTTCTGTATCCTCATTCCGGGTTGCACCGTGAAGGCTCAGATAGCTAAATGCATTTGAACGCCCCGAAATCAGATGCGACTCGGTATTCCGGAGGGGGAACCAAGAATCTGCATTCTGAATACCGTCTGAGTCACGGTTATGTGGGTGCAATCCTGCTCTAATGAAGGCAGCTAGTGCTTGGAGCTGTTTTGCCATGGCCTTTACATCAGATCCAGCATTGCCGAAGGATAGTTTAGGGCCCGTCCAGGCGCCAGTGGCAGTATGTTCTCTCCAGCCAAGTAAACTAACAAAGCATTGAAGAGTTTTGACCCAGCCTCCTTGCGACGATACAGCTCCGGTTCCGTCGACTTGCAGCAGCCACCCAAGAAAGTCGAGGGATGAGTTTCTTATTTCACTCGAGAGATGAGTCATTGCTGCTCTGATGTACAATAGTAAGCTTTCGCTGGAACGGACATCAATCTCTGTGGGAGGCAAGCTTTGATACAGTTTCAACAACTGTTCTCTAACCGAGCGAGTTCCGTCCAGAATAAGTTGCTGCGACTTCTCGATTATGACCGAGACGGGCTGGGGAAGTGGCTGATTTGGGGGAGTCGACGTCACAGCTGTTGTCAGAAAAGCTACGGCGTCTCGACGCTGTGAGTCTCCTTTGTGTGTTACTAGTGCTAGGTAGTGGGCGAACTGTGAGGATGAGTTTGGCGCAGTTGTACTGAGGGCCTGTTGTTTGACAGTGATTGCTTTGGTTTGTTAGTATGTGACGTAGCTACAAATGATGTGTCTCAGTACATTTCGCTTTGAAGCTTGTATTCGTCGCATTTGTGGGCTTCGGCTTAGCTTTGCCGACTCTATGCTTGGTTTTCTATACGCACGACTTAGGATTTTTCTGAATATACGTTCGAAGTACGTACCTGGAAATCTTTCTTTTTCGTGCTTCCTGCCATGGCTTTGTATCAACCTAGAAAGGAAAATACTATATTCGGTTATAATCAGTACAAATCCTGTCTGTCATGGATGAGTTGAAGAAATCAAGTAGACTAAGTAACTTCTGGTTAGCTCTTGCTTGCGGCAGGCGCACGGATCCCCCGAGCTCTTTCCCAGCTACTGGAATGAAGAGTACCCAGGTGCTACTGCTCGAATCTCCGTCCTCCTCAAGCATCGCTCTTCGAATCAGATCGGAAGCCGAAGATTGAAATCGACAATGTCTCAAAATGCGGTAAGATGCCTAGGAAACCTTTCAAGAACCTTCACTGAAGCCACAAATAGCCAGCCGAAACCCTTGCGCTTCTTACGCGTTTAAGCCAGAAACCTGGAGTTCAAAGCACTCTCATCCTATCTCGAGAGAACGGAGCGATCGTACGGACCTCTGGCCTAATATCGAGCAGCACATCGGCGAACGGCAACAACACATTACCAGCCCCTTCCGATAGCGCCGTGGACTTGTACAGCAATGGCAAACCAGAAGGGGGCATACAAAGTGCCGAAGACGTAGCCCGCCTGGTCTGGTCTTTTGTTGGGTCAGCCAGTACGCTTGCATCCGGACTCGACAAAGATGACGAAGTCAAGCTATTGAGAGTTCGGACCAAAAAGAACGAGCTAGTCATTGTCCCTGGTATGTAGACTGTCTGCCTTGGGTTCTCACGCCCACATGCTTGCTAGATTAGATATTGACAGTTTCTAGATCCCAAGTTCGTCCTGGTCGTCATACATGATACTCCTCCAGCATAGAAAACGACGCCTCACTCACCAATGGGCTTCGCTTATTTCCACCTCATTGACATCGATACCTTCTTTGTACCATCGTTGCTCCTCGGTGATATCGACATCGTTACCACTCATCTGCCGCTTGCGCATCCTCCCGTCTGCGGCGAAGGTCCAATCCTCCAATCCATAACATCTCTTCCACTTCATACCATCATGGGCATCTTGATACTCATACCAGAATTGAACGGCAATTCTGTCGTCGTTGAACGCGAACAATTCTTTGCGCAATCGATAGCTCTTCTCTTTCTCCCACTTCTTTGTCAAGAAGTCTACGATTGCCTCTGTTCCTGAGAAGAAGGTCGCACGATTTCTCCAGATACAGTCCGGCGTGTATGCCTTGACTACGGCATGAGGATCCCTTCCCCCGTGAGCATGGTCATACGGAGCTTTCACTCAACGCACTGCGCATTCCACAGGTCCTGAGCCTTCTTGACCTTTGCGTGGGCCGTTTCGGCTGTGAATGGAGGGACCAACGACATTTGTTTGAGTATGGTCCTGTAGGATTGTGAATGATAAGTCAAAATTAGGGGATTGTCACAGTTTTGAGTGCGAGAAAATATATTGTCTTTGCCTTGACAGGATGTTAGCAAGACAGTTGTGCTGTAGATCTATTTAGCTGGCAGGATCGGGTTTATGAGCGGACAAGTCCCACATGGGGATAATGCAAGTAATCAAGAGTCAGAAGGGCGCACAGTGAGATTAGCAGTCTAGACTCGCATGCTTATCACCAAAATGCAATTGATGTCGACCACCGGTGCTATTCCGAGCTTACGTCACAGCATTCATTCTGGCCGAAAGACACCTATGCCCCGCTGCAGGTGCCCCGCATCAAATTGAACCATTCGCGCTGACCGATAGGCCGCGTGAGTCTCTCCATGCCAGAGAGTTTTCCGGGCCGTTTCTTTCCAAACACTTGCACGACCGATAGTTATCATCGCCAACACTTGAATCTCGACTCTGCCACAACGAACTTCACTATTTCGTACAACCACAGCCACACAAACTCTAGGTCAATATCAATTGCTACAAGCCCATCATAATGGCTCCTCTCAAAGCTGGTGACAAGTTCCCCGAGGGCGTCAAGTTCGAGTGAGTTTCTTCTCCGAGTACACAGCTTGACACGTTGCTGATACAATTTACATCAGGTGGGCCCCCATCACCAACGCCGACCCGACATCCTGCGGCAAGCCCCAAGAATATGACGCCAGCAAAGAGTTCGCGGGTAAGAAAGTTGTCCTCGTCGCTGTCCCCGGCGCTTTCACTCCCGGCTGCCAGGCCATGCACTTGCCCCCATACATTCAGCTCCAGGACGAGCTGCAGTCCAAGGGCGTCGACAAGGTCGTCGTCATTGCGTCCAACGACTCGTGGGTTATGAATGCTTGGGGCAAGGTCAACAAGGTCACTGGTACGGACTATCTTGTGAGTTCTCTGCAGTCTAGCAGCATGCGGCAATCCGGCTGACGCATCGTAGCTTCTCATGAGCGACTCCAAGACCTCGTTCGGCAAGACACATGGCTGGATGGCAGGTATGGGCGATCGGCTGGGACGCTTTGCAATTGTGATTGAGAAGGATGGCACGATTAGCTATGCCGAGAAGGAGGACAACCCGAGCCAAGTCACGGTAAGTTCTGCTTGACAGCTCGAGCGGGATTTGGTTCTGACATGTCATAGGTCTCCGGTGCGGACGCTGTTCTTGCGAAATTGTAAGATGGCCCTATGCCAGCCATAGCTGAGAGAGCAGCGGGCTTACAAGTGCACGTCCAGCGGCGAGCGCCACCGCCTGTAGCATCTGCCTTTATCATAGTAAAGAGCAGGCCAGACATCAAGCTAGACATAGTGTAAAGCGAGTAGGATAGAAGACAAAACAAGCACCTGCACGCACGTACGATCCACCGAAAACAGTGACTTGAATATTCAAATTGGTTGAAAATGTAGCGTCACAAACGACCCATTCTTTCAGGTTATGAAGAAAATCCAGAGTGGGAGATACAGGACGTTGTAAAAGATTTGCTCTGCCGCGCATTGGAGAGATAAACAACGACGGGCAATGAAGCCTGTCGCATTGAGCGTGATCGCGCCAGAAAACTGTGTGTGTGCGCGACCGGCTCAATGTGTGCGGATGAAGAGAGAAGAATGAAAATTATCTCCGGCTCGGGGAAGTAGAGCGGGTGCCCAGGACTACGGATGACAAAGCATGCGATGAGTACTAGTAGTACCTTCTTAAGGTAGGTACGGTACCTACAGAACTACCACTACCACCTACCTGAGCGGGCTAGAGTCATTTGGGTGATGGTCTAACTCTCCTGGGGTTTCTGGCACTTTAATGCAGCCTCAGGCCCCTCACACCAATCAGGACGTCTGATACAGCTGAACTACCACCCAGAGCACCCACAGCCTTACACGCCCTGCATAATCACGACTCTTGACTTCGACATGAGTAGCAGGCAAAGTAGTATCGATACAAGGACACGGACTACACGGCAAATCGGCACATCTCGGGGTTCCGGACAGATGTACTACCTCTATCTTCTGCCTACGCTGCTGCAGATGTGAGAGACCTCGGCAGTCTCTGGCAGATCAGCATCATCATCACCACCATCCATCGATATCATCATGCTGCCAGCTATTACCACGACCTTCAAACACCCATTGCGACGTATACACAGGTACCCAGAGCTTACAGAAGGATTCATCTGCAGTCTCGTGGATATGAACGGTACTTTTCCGCTGTCAATCCTGCGAGTCGATGGCTGCTGGCGTCGGCACAGGCCCTCATCGCGGCTGTGGCTCCCTCGTCCCCACTCACCAGCACGACTTAGCATTTTTTCCGTTTCCACTCATTCATTCGCCGATTGCGCTGTGGATCTGCGTCTGAGAGTCATGCGTGCTGCTAATAGTTTCCTTGCTGTCTTAATCGTCATTCTAATATTCCTCCGTGCTGTTTCTGCTTGTCCTGACGTCTATGCTGTCTCGTCACTCATGCTGTGCTCACTTCTAGCTGCCCCAAGTTATCTGCCTCGTGGTCCTGTAGAGAGTCATCACTGCGTCGTCGATACCTCCGAAGCCGTTTCTGTACGCGCGATAGAACGCTGTGAAACTGTGCGTATGTTTATGGGACAGCATTGAGCAGGCTTTACCATCTACATATAAGGAGTATCCTCGCATGTAGTCCGGACTCATGCCAATCTGAAGATTCCCATATCAAATCCTCGGCAGACCCATCGAAATATACAAATCGGCAGTCAGCATGGTCGATGAGAAGGAACACCGTACCTCCTCCACCTCGACACCAACGCCACCCTCCCAGCATTTCCTCGAAGATGTCGACCCGGAGCGCAAATCGTCCAAAAGCACTCAAGACTCTGCATCTGATATTTCATCCTCAGACGACGAAGAATACGTAGAACGAGCCCAGTCAGAACATGCAACACAAACGCAATCCCGGAATTTCGAGCTTCACAGAAATGCATCACACGTCACAGAAACCAGCGCAACCCCTGAGCTTGTTCATATCCAGACCGGGAGAAGCGTTGCCACAAATGCAACAAGTGACCCAAGATTCGAGGTCGATTTCGAAGAGGACGGCTCAGACAATCCAAAGGAATGGAGCCTGGCACACAAGAGCATGGTTATATTCTGCACTAGCTATTCCACCGTTATAGTGTAAGTGGACGCTTGACTTTTGACCTTTTGACCTTTGCCACTGCCGACCAGCATACAATGTTGCATTGTCGTCCATTGCCGCATGTCAAATGTGGCTGAACGTCAATGGCTAAACTGACGTCGTACAGCGTCTTGTATTCGACTTCATATGCATCCGCCATCCCGGGCATGATGGAAAGCTTCAACATCGACAACGAGACCCTCGTCGTTCTCGGCCTCACGACATATCTCATGGGCTTGGCCACCGGTTCCGTGATCCTGGCACCGCTCAGCGAAATGTACGGTCGCAGACCCATCTACATCGTATCGCTGGCCTTTTTCATCGTTCTTGTCATTCCATGCGCTCTGGCGAAGAATCTAGAGACCATCCTAGTCACCCGCTTCTTTGGCGCCCTCGCTGGGAGTGCCATGATTTCCAACGCCCCTGGTACCGTTGCAGACATTGTCACGGACGAATACCGCGCCCTCGCATTTTCCATCTGGAGTATTGGACCTATGAACGGTGTATGTTTCTATATATATCCTCCTTCTTTCTTCGCAGTACTGACTATTCCAGCCCGTCCTTGGCCCCATCATCGGCGGCTTCGTCTTTCAATCTCTCGGTTGGCGCTGGACAAATTGGGTCGTCCTCATCGGTGCCGGCGTCGCACTGCTCGTGATATCGACGGTCAAAGAAACCTACGCACCCGCCATCCTCCGCCGCAAATCCGCTCTTCAGCGGAAGAAATCAAACGACGATCGATACTGGTCCCGCTATGACGAGCGTCTCGGCCTTCGCTCCCTCCTCGCCGTCAACCTCTCCCGGCCCTTCGTCATGGCCGTCACCGAGCCCATCTGCATCTTCTGGGACATCTACATCGCCATCGTCTACGGCATCCTCTACCTCTGCTTCGTCGCCTACCCCATCGTCTTCTCCCAGCAACGCGGCTGGTCACCCGGGCTCACCGGCCTCGCCTACACCGGCATCGGCATCGGCGGCCTCATCACCATCCTCTCCGAGCCCCTCCTCCGCGCCCTCATCAACTCCTACCGCCCCAACCGCAGCATCCCCGCCAGCCCCCTCAACGCCGCCCCTCCCGAGGCCATGCTCGCCGTTGTCTGCATAGCCGCCGTCCTCGTTCCCATCGGCGAGCTCGTCTTCGCATGGACTTCCCCACCCACCGTCCACTGGGTCTTCCCCATCCTCGCCGGCATCCCCTTTGGCGCCGGCAACTGCGCCGTCTTCATCTACGCGTCAAACTACCTCGTCCACTCGTACGGCATCTACGCCGCCTCCGCGCTCGCCGGTAATGCCGTGCTGCGCAGTGTCCTGGGCGGCTGCTTGCCGCTTGCGGGCCCCGCGCTGTATGGTGCTCTTGGGAGTCGCTGGGCTGGCACGTTGCTGGGCGGGCTGGAAGTGTTGTGTATTCCGATTCCGTGGGTGTTCTGGCGGTATGGCGCGAGGATTCGGGGGAGGAGTCGCATGATTGGGCTCATGCGTGCGGATCAGGAGAGGTTGGAGGCGAGGGCTCGAAGGAAGGCGGTGGGTGTGGTTGCTGGAGGGGGAAGCGCAGGCGAGGATCGAGCTGGAGGGATGGAGTACGTGAGCGCGCAGAAAGAGAAGGCTGGGCTTGTAGAACGGGATCGTGAGGTTTGAGATAGTTGTTTGGAAACTTGGGGACTTTATGAGACTCACGAAATGACATGAAGTAGCTTTCAAAGCCATCATCTCCATAATGCCGTTATGACCCTGTGTGATGGCGTCTGTAGCTTCGCGTATGTTTTGACGCGTACCGTTGACGTTTTCACCTGCAGCTTATACAGGACCACTGACCACGTCGACACTGGCAAAGAGTCTATCTGCCATGTTCGGGCATGCAGCTGCTGGTCTCTTTCTAAAGATTGCGCGGATGTGTAGTGGATGCGGTTGTTTGATCAGCGCGGTCATGGGCCCATTCGAATAGTGTAAAGGTGATTCACTTTGCTCACAGCGAGTTCCGAGAAGGTCTATCTATCAGGACGAAATACCAAGGCGAAATCTTGTAAGACCGGCGAGGCCAAAAAAAAACCTGCAGACGCGTTGCTTATCAATCCAACAAACAGTGTTCAGACGCGTGACCCCTGGCTCAGCAACACCACACACCGCACCACACCACACCACCACTTTATCAATTTTCTCGCCCTTTATAAACAATTTTACTCCAGCTACAATCAGTACCAGAACTTCGGGGCCATGGCTTAGTGGTCCCACAACAGGATAAAAAAGCGCGGTTTGGTGACGGCTTTCTCGGTTCCCAAACGATTGAGCTCCCGTTCGATCCGCGCGATATGAGTTTTGTTTTGAGTTTTTTTTTTCTCAATTTTTTTTTGGAGTTTTTGCTCATAATGGCTGCTGGAGGCGTGCCTAGAGGTTTGATTTTGGGTAGGATGTTACCGTACTTGTGTAGAGGAAGTTAGAGAGTTGCTTTGGGGTAGGCTTTGGTTGTTGTTGATGGTGTTTGTGTAGGTTTTGGTAGATTTGTCTTCGACGTGGCACTTTGGACGCGTTACAGCAGTTCCTCTTACTGTGCGGGTTGTTGGGATGCGTATTGTTCATCGAGCTTGCGAAGTCAGAAACTAAGCACTTATATAAAGAGACAATTAGCTTTACAATTATGTATTCAAGAACTGGGTCCGGCATGCATTTTTGCCAAACGTATGTATAGCACACTAGTTATTTGCATGTATGACGCTCCGATGATACTTAATTCACTGCATGAAAGCATCTACTCCAAGCGTCTGACCTTCATCCTTCAATAATCCTTTCCAGAATGTATGTAGGGGAGGCGATCAATGCTCTTCCTCCTTACACGATGCAATGAGAGCAGTGCTTGCCGCAGCAGCAACACTCACCACAACCACACTGATGAGACTGCCAAGAATGATACCACCGAAACCACCCATAGCAGCCGACTGAAGGAGAGAAAACAAGCTTCCTGCGGGAACGTCACCCATAGAGGCCTGCACAGCCGCCGCAATAGAACCTTTCGACTGAGTCAGTACATATAACCCTCCAAGTATGCGAATCACACCCCAGCAGCAGGCCCGACAGGCGTAAAACCCAGGATTCCAAGGAGAGGCATGAAGAACAGTCCCGGCGCCGCGATGATGACGCCGCCAATCACACAAAGTGCAATCTCATGCGGGTGCTCCTTGACGAACTCGAACGTGGCTTCCGGGAGGTTATTCCAGTCGAAGTTGAGCATATACTCCTCTGCTTCTTCCTTGCTTTTCCACGCGTCATCGCCGAACTGCTGAAGTGCTGGCATGGTCTCGTTCTGGTACGTGTTCTGGAGGTCCTGCGCTCGCTTGCGGAGCTCTTGGAATGCACTGTCTCCCGCTTCACTGAGGGCTTGCATGGTTCCGGTGGCGCTGTCGTTAATGTCTTGCATGCCTTTCTCCCCGGCTTTCGCCATCTCTTCACCTGTTGCAAATCAGTCTCGTCGTTCATAGCTTTCGCCGTGCAATGCTCGTACCAGCTCTTGTTGCATGGCCTGCGACGGCTTCGGCGGCATGGCCGGTATCTGCGATTGCTTTGTCAAACCAGCCAAAATCCATGATTGTTTGCGGGCTGATGTACAGAGTGTATTAAGCGGTAAGAGCTGTGTATTGGCTTCGCAAGGACTTAAGAGTGCTCTGGGAGATTGACCGATCAGTGATGGAATCAAGGTCTCATAGTCTGGTGAATATATGGGTCCGTGTAGCTAGTGCTACCGTGAAACACTGTGGAATACTGTGCAAACACACAGCTAATAATAACGCTAGTCGTTTTCGTGCCTTTCTGACTTCAGTTGATAGGTACTCCGCGAGGTGAAATACAGACCTAAGTCAAGACATAGCTTATATGTATCAAGGAGAAGATAGCATGCGTCACTTCACTCGTGCACACGATTTTTAACACCAAAGAGTATATCTTTGCCTAGCTTTGTCAAACTTGACCGTTGTAGCGTCACACAGCCATACAGTGCCTTTGATAGCCAACTCAGATGAGCCGTACGATCTCAGTACAAGCATTTACAGCTCTCTTTCCAATAAATATTCTAGGCACACCCTATTCTTCATCTGGTTCCAAAGTGTCAACACCCCTTTGTCCCTCGCTTATCGCCATGTTGCGGTTTGGATTTATAGCAGCCTTGATTAGCTTTGCTGCTTCGATGGCGACAAAAGACACAGCTCCAGTTGTAAGCACACCTCCTACGATTACTGCACCATACCCAGCCATAGCGGCCGACTGAAGTATTGCAAATAGTGAGCCACCAGCCACAGTTCCGAGAGAAGCCTGCCAGGCAGCTGCGAGTGAGCCTTGACCCAAGTCAGTCAATGTAAAATAAAACGTGCAAAGCGTGGTGACTTACCAGCCGCCGGACCCACAGCTGTGAAGCCCATTAGACTGAGTAGTGGTCCGAAGATGAGTGCTGGTTGGAAGATCATAATGCCAGTCGAGACTCCGCCGACGATGTAGAATATAGTCTTGAACGGATGTGCCTTGACGTAACGCCATGTACTATGAGGCAGGCGCCTGAAGTTGAAGTCAAGTAGTTTCTTCTTGGCAACGAACAGATCTTGCTGCAGGCTGTCTCCCAGCTGGTTCACAAGCGGAACGACGCCGTATTTGTACCAACCGTTCAGTTTGGTGGCCGTGCTAGCCACGGAGGAGAGAAAGTCGGCAAAGGGCATGTTGAGGCTTTGAGAGATGTTATAGGTGCGAAAAGTAAGGCAGTGGAAGACTATATATCAGAGCCGTTAATCCTGTGATTTTGAGTCGAAGCATTTGTCTTGGATACTGAGAAGTGAATCGAGTTAGTAACTTCGATATGTGCGAACACTCGTCATGTTTGATTGAATGTGTGGAGATAGGTCCGCGAATCGGCCATCGCAAGTGTAAAGTGATAAGTTGTGAAATTTGCATACTGGAAGTAGCCGGGTCGGCGCTGGAGAAAAGATATTGTGGTGGGAAGTGAACGCTGAGTGCTCAAGCACGACCCCCAACCGAGAGACCTAAACACAGCCTTACGGAAAGCAGTTAGACGACAGACTAAGCGGTTATAATATAAATATGAAGCTCAACGTCATCAGAAGGCTAGATTGGTTGTCTTTTACGATATCAAGAAATAGAAAGAGCTTTGAACAGCAATATAAGGAGAGAGAGAGAAAAGAGAGGAGAGAAGTGAGGCTCTACAGCCCAATCGCTAGTCTCGATTAGGCTAGCCCAGTCAGTACGTCTCCACTTCGTGTTCACAAGGTTAACTATGGGGGCATGGAGCAAAATAGATTACAGTATCAATCCACCAAGTAACAGGAATACCGACTTCAAAGCTCTTCATGGAAAATATCACCGTGATATAGAGTCATCAGGACCCACTGCTATGTCATAGGTATCTTACAACGTGCTTATATTCTCCTGTTCATGTATGGCGTGACCACTAACATAGTATTGAAATCATATGTCATCAGAGTCTTCTAATCCTTCCCTGTTCTCTCAATAACGACTTATGGAGAAGCATACCCACCAGCCAACCAGAAATCATTCTTATCATAGAGGCCGAGATCACCACCACGAAGATGACCAGAGACCAACCCCAAGCCGACTGAGCCACATCTACGAGAGAGAATTCCGGGACCGTCAAATCACGCGCACCGATCTCCCCATAGCCTACAAAGGTTCAGCACTATTTAGGAGCCACGATATGACGCGAGAACTCACCCGGTCCGGTCAAATCAACACTCAACTCAGTCATATTCCTCATTGCGACATATCCATCAGACCCTACGGAGGAGGTTAATACTATTCCAAAGCATATCTCCCATGATACGTCTAGATATCTCACGAATAGCACGCTGGCGCACAGGTCCGAAGGCAAGCTTGGGAATGTTTATGGTAAAGACACCACAGACAGCCAGAATGATCAAGAGGATGACAGTCAAGCTGCTGACAGAGAGGCCAAGGTACCAGGGGCCGATGTTGACAAGGGAGCGGTAGAAGGCGCGAAGTTTGGTGTTCAGAGATGCAAAGAAACTGCTAGATCTTGGAGCCGAGCTGGTTTCGTCCGGGTTGTAGTATAGGGGAAGAGCGTGGTTCTCGGACATCTTGGAGGAGAAAGTCAGGATCTATCGTGTATGCGATATGGAACGTTAACGTGCAGGGCAATGCTGGGTCGAGGTGAGCTTTTCTGGTTTGTAAGTACTGCCGGTTGAGGAGCTGTATAAAAAAGTAGAGCGACAGGAGCAGATTTGCTGTCTTACATGAGATGTATATGATTCTGTGTAGCGCCATATCTAATGCCTTTGGATAGTGATGACCAGTTTTGCCGGGAGTGGATCTGAGGTTCGGCGAGTGGGTCTGAAGTTCGGCGACTAGAGCCGGAGTGGAGTTTGTGGGACGGGTAATTAATGATGGATGTCGCAAAACATGTGCTCGATACTCCGATGAGATCTCGATCATGTTGGCACTAATAAGAAAGATGTCCTATGCCACTGTTATGTTTAAGATACCTACTACTTCGCGTGGGCAATGACTCGCCCGTTCGTGACTCAACTGGAAAGTGGAGAACTGCAGCCAGAGGCTATCTCGCTCACTGTATGGCTGCATCCATTGATCCACATTGACTTTGCACTGTGTTGGGGAGACATGACGAATCAAGTAATTAATTAGATTATGTATGATGGAAGGGATATAACAGGGGTAGTTTATGGAGTGAGATCCTGACTAAGGAGTAGTGCACAGACACTAGCGTGAATGTGTCCACCATTGTAGTTCAACGTCACCATGCTCCACCCCAAACTTGGTCACAACTCAAGTGACGCCTTGCTTAGCCATGACAAAAGAGATGGGTATCTGATCCTACTTTGATGTTTCGCTGTTCACAGTCCAACAGTCCTTAAAGTATGTGACAGTGAGTTCCCGATCGGCTGCAAGTTCGGGAGCATGGCCGCGACGAATCGATCTGGGAATCTGCTACTGCCATGAATCAACAATGGCAGCACAGCTATTCCCCACATGAAGTATGTCAAGCCGATCGCCATGTTGATGCGAATAGCGATGATGATGGATCTGAGACGCGCAGCAATCCAGTTGCGAATGGGTCGATTCTTCTTTGCTGCTTCAGCGGCTGCGAGCGCTTCAGAAATCTTCAGCGCAACCTTGTTGTTGATCTTTTGCCAAGTAGTATTGAGCGCGATCGATCTCGCTGTCTGCGACATTTGTCTTCTGAGCTCAGATGACTGGATAAGTCTCTGTGTCTTCGCAACGAAGTTCCTAACGTCGTCTGGTCGAATGAGATGGCCAGATTTCTCATCAACTACAATCTCAGACGGCCCTCCTTGATCCCGTGCGACCACTGGCAAGCCACTCGCCATCGCTTCCAAAACAACCAGACCAAAAGTTTCGGTGATGGAACAATGCAGGAACAAATCAGCTGAAGCGTAGACGCACGCCAATGCTGCACCCTTACGGAACCCTGTGAATACAACCCTGTGCTCCACACTCTTGAACAATTTTTGCACATCTTCTTCCACTGCGGGATTCTGGTTGCCACCTGTAATGACCATCTTGAAATGACTTCCTGCAGCATCCAACCGCTGGACGACCTCAGCCAAAAACCCGAAGCCTTTCTCTGGAGCTATTCTCCCAACACATAGCAAAATGATCTCGCCATGAGGAGCAATCGTTTTGCGAAAGTTCATGTCTCTCGCTTCTGGTCGGAATAAAGCCGTATCTACGCCTCTTCCTAAGTGGAAGGTCTTACTCATCGGCGCGCCTGCTTTCTCGAGATATTCGCGGACCATTCCTGACGGATAAAAGATGGTATGAACGGCACTATGGCTGAAAAGGAAGCCTTGTACCAGTGCTAGTAACCATACGGCATACTGATCCATCGGCTTGGGAAATATGATCTCACTGTATGCGGAAAGGTCGGTTTGAAAGTTCAGCATCACAGGCGGTGGTGAACCCATTTGTCGAATCTGTAGAAGAAGCTGGAAGCCCACGGATGCAGGACTCGCCAGATATATCAGATCTGGGTGAAACGACTTGCTATATATAGTGTCGAGGCGGAGAGGATATGCGACTGTCAAATCTGGATTGTATGGTAGAGGGTATCCATCAAGTCGAACTTCCGGATCGTTTCTCGCATTCGTCACTGTTGTTGGTCCCGCGAACTTGGGCGCCACAACAGCTACCTGCGCTCCATTGTCGCGGAGATATTGGATCAGACTGCCTGTAGTCCTACTGACACCGTTGATTGGGCCAAGTGACTCAGTCGCCAGCAGAATCTTTCGGCCCTTGAGGTCTTGAGGAAAGTTCTGGTCCATCTTCTCAGTAGTTGAAGGCTTTCAAAATTGCGGCTCAAGCGATGGCACGAACGTTATGTCACTATAATGTCTGCGGTGCGTTGTATTGACCAGGACCAATGTTTGAAGCAAATTCCACGTAAGAAGAACCTGCGACGTGGAGGAACTTGAAATTCCGAAGTCGCCCTTCCCATGATGTAGTCGCTGCAGAATTATCCTCATCATGCGGGGTATCTTTGTGAGGTGGGATGCTCAGTGTCTAGCTCATGACAGAGGGTTGAGATAGGAAAGTTGATGTTTGTCCCACGAGACGGCGGATTCACTTCTGATTGGCCGGTAGCAGGCATCACTTGAACCACAGATTCAGGGTCCACGGCAACATCAGGGCCTGGCATCTCGCAACGTGCGACGGTTGGACGTCAACACTCGAGCAGAATATAATATTGATACGATGACTCCACGATAAAGAACCGCGTCGCACGAATGGACTGTTTGCTGCCACCACGAGATCTCCACCGCGTGCTTATTGCCACTCTTTATTTTCGATGCAAGCTTGTCCGGGGAGGATGGCCACTACTATGTACCATTCACTCGACACATGACTTGGCTTGTAATAATGGCAAACGCGAGATTGCAAAGCGGGCCTCGGCCGTTGCTGTCGCACTGCCTTCATCTCTTGTCCCTATATGTGCGTGACCATACCTCCACTTTGACTGCGACAGCACACGACTTCCAGCATGAATATGGTTCAATTCAGCTCAAGTGCCTCAGATGAGAGTACATTTGATCTATCTATGCGGTCAACACCTCCGGAAAGAAGCCTGTTGAGTGGCACTGCGCAATCAGATGCCACCATAGAGACTCGTTTTACAAGCCTTTCGGATCTTATCTCCCTCGAGGAGTCGTCCTCACCACAAGACAGGCAGCGAATACTGCCAGATATCCTCAATCCTGCCAGCGCCGCGGGAATTCCTGTGAGGAATGTTTGTTTCGTGGGAGCTGGGTATGTAGGTATGGACCACATTTCCTCTCAATCTCATCGATCCTATCTCACGTGTGCCTTGTAAACTACCGTCTGACCGACCTAGGGGTTCCAACTGCTGCAGTCATTGCTTTGAAAAATCCATCATTGCGCGTGACAGTCATAGACCGCGACGAGAGGCGCATACGAAGGTGGAATTCTACACATTTACCACTTAGCGAGCCAGGCTTGAATGAGCTCGTTCGAATCACAAGAGATGGCTGTAAGTTTTCTTGGTCCCACAAGGAGAAGCCGAAGGCGGTCACAGCATCCTTCGAACAGGACGTTGAAGAACAGGCTATAAGGACCCCCAACCTAAATTTTTCCACGGAAACCGCGAAATGGATTGCGACTGCAGATATGATATTTATCTGTGTTAACACTGGAACAAAGACCTCGGGTGTGGGAGCCGGTTCTGCCACCGACATGACTGCATTCGAAGGCGTAGTACGAGAAATTGCAGCCAACTCAAAGACAGGAGCCATACTGGTCGAGAAGAGTACAGTGCCATGCAGGACTGCAAAGTTTGTCCAAGACATTGTCAGTTTGAGAACTCAAGCAGGCAGCGAATCTGATACTGACCATAAAATAGCTCGAGAATCTCAGGCCACGGGCGAGGATGCAAGTGCTCTCCAACCCTGAATTCCTTGCGGAGGGCACGGCTGTCGCAAATCTTCTTCATCCAGATCGAGTAATCATCGGGTCTGCCCATACTGTTGAAGGCCATCGAGCTGCTGCCGCCTTGGCCAAACTATACACATCATTTGTTGATCCATCGCGTATCCTGGGTACTCATGTATGGTCGTCTGAGCTTGCAAAGTTAGCTGCAAACGCCATGCTAGCACAGCGCATTTCCAGCATCAATTCTATTAGTGCAATATGCGAACAGACTGGTGCCGACGTCCACGAAGTAGCAAAAGCGATGGGCATGGATCCACGGATCGGAAGTCAGTTCCTCAAAGCAGGTCTAGGCTTTGGCGGAAGCTGTTTCAGGAAAGATATCGGTAGTCTAGTCTATCTGGCTCGTAGTCTGCATCTGGACGATATTGCTGACTACTGGGAGAGTGTGACGAAGATCAACATGCTCCAGCGCACACGTTTCTCTAAGATGGTTGTTCAGCGTCTCAACGGCACGCTCGTGGGTAAGAAAATTACACTCTTAGGATTTGCTTTCAAGAAGAACACCGACGATACTCGTGAGAGTTTAGCCGTCGACATCATCAGCAAACTTCTCGAAGAACGCCCCGCCGAAATCGCAGTATTCGACCCTATATGTCTCCCGGAGAACATACAGCGCGAGATCAATACGCTTGGCCCTCAGTACAATAACACAGACAAGGTCAAGATCTATACCGATCCCTATCAGGCATCTATGTCCGCATCCGCAATCTTGATTATCACTGATTGGGACTTTTTCAAGAATTCACCTTCAAAGCGCCCTGCTTCGTGTTCATCGTCTCCCACGACAAAGCCAGTCGATCAACTCGGTCTGAACCTCTCCCCTGAGCAGTTTTTTCCTCAGCCCTCGTGCCCGGATGACTGCCCGGACTGCAAGATCTCTTATCAGGGGTACGGAGTCGGTTCGGACGACAGGATCGAGTGGGCAAGGATAAGCTACCACATGAAAAGGCCGCGACTGCTCTTCGATGGTAGAGACGTAGTCGACCCAGCAGAGATGGGGGCTTTGGGCGTCAGGGTCATCGGCTTGGGGAGGACTGAAACTGGTTATGGTGGTGGAATGAATATGGGCATGAGTACTGGTTTTGGGTACTAATCGGTTCGCAGAAGTAAGACTCACAGTCTATTAGATCAGAAGGAGAGAGTGCATCGATAATATCCACGGACAGATAATATTTGTTTTCAATCTCTGACTTCACACGTTCACAATCCTTCTGCTTGAAAGGGCACAGCAATATGCCACACCTGCACCACTATCATTGTATTTCTCTCTCTGTACACCGGATTTCGACTCCTCCATCGTGGAGATCTCCGAACACAGACTGCTAGGCATGGCGCATGAGAGATTTTCACCAACTATATCCTCCATGCATAGCGCGTCAACTGACCTACCCGAGTTTCCATAGCTGCGGAAGAAACGCAAGACAGCTGTATGATCCCACAGCCTTTCTCTTCTGCCCCAGCCCGCGGAGCACCTCACTCTCTTCCCACAGCTTCACCATGATGAGTGTCTAATCTGTTATTTGGACAATGCGTTTCGCTAAGTTTTGACTAAGTGCTGCCCTGCTCTTAAATCTTGGATGTGAATATGGAACTTCAAGGATAATAAGTCCATCACAAAACGCAAAGGCGATGATATCTCAAAATGTTCTTAAAGTATCTTGATTGGGTATCTGAAAAATGCCTACTTCTCATGGAGACAGCCGCTAATATTGTCATTAGCTTCATAATGCGTGATCCAGCCGCTACCTAACACTCTCCGCAGTCCATTCAGTCTATGCATCTTCCACCATTTGTTGACTTTGTACTGTCCAAAGTTTTTGATACGCAGACGGGACCCCAGGCGTTGCCCTGACTCCTGGTCGATGGCATTCGAGTGGCGAGGCCCTCGGTAAGGGTATTCCACGGCGTTAACGAAGTCCGCGAAATTCTCGTGCAGAGCCTTTTTGTCCTTTTTGGAGACGCCACGGCCACTGGTATTGGCAAGAGAACTGAGAAGATCCTTCAGTTGATCTTCACGCCTGTAGACTTGATAGCGCTTAATCATTCTTGGTGCGGTCTTATCTTCTATGGCGTCATTCTCATCGTTATCTTCCTCACCACTCGATAGGTCCTCATCCTCCTCTTGTTCTGTGTAGCTATATTCGTAAAGGAGGGCAATATTTTCTCCAGCAGCGATTTGAACGCTGACATCGCCACTCTCCAGCTGGTCGACGAACGTATCCATGGCAACTTCGGTGATATCTTCTGCTTCGTCGAGGAGGGTCGCCAGGAAGCCCCATTCTTGCAACGCTGCAGAAACAACCTTTCCATCGTCAAGTGCACCAACGGTCTCGCCGTCCGACTCGGAAATTTCGAGGAGGAATTCCATCATTTCCATGGTACCCTCCTCAGATGATCCTCCAAAGAAAGTTTGGACTGATAACGTACGAATAGCGGCGGCCTTTACAAGTGGTGAGTCAGAGTCAGTTATTATATTATTCAATGTCTTGTCCATGCCTATTTGTGCATCATTGTCAGGGCAGGTTATAATAGTCATCGTGAGTGCTACCGACTGTCAGTTGGATTACAGCCATACCACAAGTCGGCGCCAGACGTACCCTTCAAAGCCAAAGTAGCTTCCTTCACTTCACCATCCTTTATACTCCTGAGAAGCGACCCTTGGATCTCAGCCAGTCTTGGCGCAACTTCTGCTGTTCTATATCCATTTTGCAGAGCATTCGCAAACCTTGCGATGCAGAGCTCTCGGCCTGCTGACGTGCTTCCTTTCCGAGTAATCAGTTCCTCGATCAGATTATTGAGATTACTGTAGCTGTAGTCCTCCGCAGGCGCGTCCCCGACGTCAAGGACACCACCGTGGTATTCATCAAAGGAGCTATAGCTAACAAGAAGTCAGTTCGGGTCACTGCAAGCTGTCGGGACATATAAAACTCACCTGTATGCTCCTTCGCTGCGTGAGTCTTCATCGTCAGAGGGCTGCCTGCTCGGAGCTCTTGAGTTCGATGTTGAGCCAGTAGGAGAGTTATTTGTCGAGTTTGCTGCTGAGCTTTGTCGCGATAGTCTCTCACGAGCCTTACGAGAGACTGTCTTTCCCGGAGCGAGAGCCTGCCTTCGGAGGTCTTTATCGGGCATACTGCAAGAAAAGAGATTGGGCTTGGCTGACCGCTGAGCGCACGTGAAACTGAGTGTGTGGTAACGTCCTGAATAAATGCCGGCATATAAGTCGAGCGGCTGAGCGATCGAGTCGATGCTATCTCAGTCCTTCAGTCAAAGTGGAGTGAGTATTGCGTATTGATCTCAGTTCCATTTGGGAGGTGGGAGGGGAGGTATTTGTGGCTAAGTGTGGATTTCCAGCACAGGGTGACAACAATATCTATCTAAGTGAAGAAAGTGGAGGCCTGCCAGTTGTCACACAGCCTTGATCCGGTGACGAGAACCCGGCCGAGGTGTGGCGGGGTACCACCTAATTAGTGAATATCTGAACCTGTCATAGGTATATATGAGCACACACACTTGCGACGACTGGACTGGTGTGAAGTCTAATGAATTGATACTCCCTACCCTCCACTTTCCGCAACAATGACTCCATGACCGACCTCCTGTTCAAAGACTCAAATCTCCTGCTGAGTCCTGTCCTTTCCTAATATTTATGGCCCGATTGGGTGGTAACATTAGCCTTGCCTTGATATATAGCACTAATCTGAACACGTTCAAATGTAATCTAGTGAGGTTTGGTGGTGCTAAAAGCATCCATCAATGCACGAGAGACTGATACCCAACAGCCTCGTTGAAGATCATTGGGGTCATTCAAAAAGACATACTCGAAATAGCATAAGCACAATAGGAAACGACATGGATTGCAAGGTCTACTGTGCCAAAAGCAGGTCATGAATTCGATCAGCACGCACTGCGTTGTGGAGAACATTGATGGTATCAATGCCGTCTTGAAGCCTTCGTATAAACATGTTATCATGATCGATGCAGGACTCTCCATTCGGTGAACGAAGATCAGCGTCCATGAATGCGGACCGGATTCATGCGAGTCAGTGCGGATTATGAATGAACGCAGGGCGCTTCGGCAGTACCTTAATCGTCCGGGAAGCGCGAAGGTATAAATAGAATAACACTAAGAGAGGAATGACCTTACTAGTCTTATAAGAGGGTATCAGAAGTAAACAATGCTATATTTGGAGATCCCAATAAAATGATTGCATCCATTCACAAGCCCAGTTCTGAAAACGAAGTAGTCTATGTCCTAGTGGTGTACTATAGCAATGCCATACCTTGAATGAGGTAAGGCCAAAAAATGGCTTAGAACGCCAAGTCTCTTTGTACGTCATCAATCGTAAGAGTCGTTATACAAACATAAGTGTAAATATGAAAGGGTGGGAAAAGCATGTTCAACCCGACGCCGTCTTTGTGTGCCCAAACCAGCGACTTGTTTTATCGATTTGTCGGAGTTCAGACATCTCCTACTTCACCGAAGTGTCATGCTTGCGAATATCTTGCTGTCCTTTCAAGGACCTCGAAAGACATTGACAATGCAGACAACCTCAAATGTCATATTGGTTTGTGTGCTTGCGTTTTTGGATTTCCTCTCCGTGGTAAGCGCGGCGGTGTTCTATAAGATGGTCTTTTCGGGTGAATGGACGAATGGAACGATCACACGATCTGTGAGGGCAAGCAAAGCTCTTTCGCTTCTCGTGAACTGTGTCGGTATGACGATCAAGGTCGGCTTTGCGTCCAAATTCCGCAGTTGATGAACAGCCAGGACGTTCGCATCTCCAACTACGTTCTGTTAGCCAGGATCTTAGATCATGATGGCGTGACACCAAACTCACATTTTTTTCGACTTTTTCGGCGGCTTCGTGGTTGAAGTCCTGGAATCTTCTTCGCACTCGGATGCAGGAGGGTACAAAGACAGGTTCTGTTGTGATGAGACATGATGTAAAAGCTGGAGTGGCGGATGGATTTGCTGGTAAGCTGGACGTGCTCCATGTGGGTATACGATTTGATAATTCAGGTAAGGTTGGGATTGATAGTAGATAGGCTGGTAAGTCATTGCTTGCGACGAAGACAGCGTTGGATACTGGCCGCAATACGAGTCGTATGCACCACGTGTATGAGATGACGTTCCATATTGGACTTGATTGTACGTTTGGTTGGCGTCGAACTGTGAAATACGCTGGAATGTCATGACTGGCAAGATGATGTGGTATGGTAAAGAAGATAGCTGAGGGCTGGAGCAGTAGGGTGTAGACTGTTGGATGTTATCCGCGTACGTCTTTTCACAATCTGTCCCTTTCATAGAGTCTTGACTTTGCTGTTAAGAAGTACTCAAAGGATAATAAAGACGCTGGATGGGTTTTAGTACAGGACATGCATGGCTCTGCAACAAATAACCATACGTTGTTGTGAGAGGGATCCATGTCACTAACTTGTGTGAATGGTGGAGACAGCTTAGTATCCAATGAGCAAGGATTTGTCTGCTTGGGCCGAGCCAACGCAAGATTCATCAAATTCACTAGATTATGGTTAGCGGTGCGCCTAGATGAACCTGACTGGTGCTTACAGTGCTTATAAAATGATCCCGCTTGTCTGAATTTAGTTCATCGCATTAACATGCTTGCTGACTTGAGGAGATCATATCCTATGCCACCAAGGGCAAGGCTTTTACTTAGACCACTGTGCACTATGTGCTCGCCTTTTTGGTAATGGAGCTGTAGGATGTGGAAGACAACAATCTTATTCTTCATGGTCACAAGGCCTTCTTCCGCCTCAAGAGCTCGTCAAATAGACCACGCGGAGAATACTATAAGCGAACTACCGACACATAATAGTATTTGCCCGTTCGTGCTATGATCATGCGTTGATGAGGCTTAGAGGGCAGATCAATGAACAGACCGATGAGCCTTTGCACAGAATGTTGTATATGTAAAATACTGACCTTCGCGTGAATAGCTGGTACGGTGTACGGTACGGCTTCGTAATGAATAAAGCAGCAGAGCATGAAAGACAAAGAAGCGTATGAGATATGGATGACGTTTCTGAAGTATAGACCATGACAAAAGGGGCCATCGCCGCAGGAATGAATCATGTAAGTTATGTAGCATTGAGCTAACAATTGCCTGAAGGCTTAGTTTCGTTCAAGCTGTATTTTCTTCGAAATGAGCTATAGATGCCTGTAGTTCTTTGCAATCCTTGAGGCTCTTAGAAAGTCTGTCACGCATGCGGGCTATATTTGATGTATCGGGAATATGTGATCATGGCGGTCGAAATCAGTAATGGTCTTAGATTACAGCGAGATGGTCGAAAAGCCTAACAAAAATCTGCCTGTCCGTTAACCCAGCTTGTCGGAGAAATGACAGGACTGATTGTCTTCAAAGAGGATCGTGCATATATTTGGAGCCGTTACGCCAGACCGTGGGAACTATCAGCCACTTAGCGATCGGTAATGACAGGATTCGATTGCTCTCGATGGGTTCTATCTGGACGATGGTGGCGGCTGACCCATCCAGCCTAAAGCCGTAGTAGGACAATCAGACCAGAATACAATTCTGTCATATTTAGAAGAATTTCCTTCATCGGGTTAGTGCATGCGCTTATGGTGGAGTTGACAGATGCAGATGCATTGCATTCACTCTCTTGCAGAGAACAATCCAGCTGTGGTCCCTGCATAGTCCTATATGTGGTCGGGCAAACAAAACTCATTATACTCGTTTTGGTATAGCAGAGAACTGAAGATCCAATCAATTCTACTGCGCTGACGGAAGATATGCCTTGCAGCTTCCTTCTTTCTATTTTTAGAAACTGTGCACGGGTTTTACGATCGCTGATGTATGCTCTCCTCAGCTGCAGTATTCTGGCAATTACACCCTTGAGATGGCGATGGCGTCGCTGATTTACTTCAGCAGAGCAGGCAGTAATCCCGCATTACACCCACAGGCATTCGACCTTGAAAGATGCTTTATCATCCCTAAAGCTGTATACTGTACAATGCACGCATTATGATCTTCCAAAAATTGAGCAGTTGCCATGCATTGGCATCTTTCACAGTAATGTCTTCTTGGAGAGCTAGCTTCCATCAGAAGCACACGCACGATAACTTACACAACAACACAAAATGAGTCCTCTGCCTGGCGAACTATAGATCGTCCTCGAGGAACTTGTAGGCAAATTTAAAGTCTGCCTTTCTTCGATTCATCCTGGAGATGATTAGCATGCACGATAAGCTAGGTGCAGGTAGGAGCCGATAGTCAAATGCGTTGCAAGTAGGAGAAAAACTTACCAAGTACTCTCGTAATCGAAGAATCGATATGTTCCCTGCTCATAGTCCTCCGTGATTGACTTTGGCTCCTCATGTCTTTGGAACCAGGTCTGGTACTGCTTATGAAAGCGCCAACTCTGAGCCTTGAGAGCTTTGGCCGCAAGAAATTGTTGATATGTGCCCTGCCGATAATAGAAGGCATAGAAAAGCGTATCAGTGTCAATTTTCTGGAACAGCCTGGGATCATCGAAGATAGGTAATGGCTCCTGCGGGTAGTGTTCAGGAGTAAACGGGTAGGGATTCTGCGGCTTGTAGTGTCGTGGTCGTTCAGCGTCCACTGATTCTGGGAAAGACGCATGTGCCGCATTCAGAAGTCTTTCGTCCGTCTGCTTGGAGTCCGCATGGACCTCGGCTTTCGTGGCTTCAAATGACTCCAAGAGGTCTTGTAGGCTGGAGGGTAGAAAATAAACCGACTCTGTATCGTCTGTTCTTTGATGTGCATCTCCATTGGTCACCTTGGCCTGGCGAGTGTTTTCGGTGCCTGTACTAGGCGTTCGCTCCGTTGACATCGGCGGTTGAGTCTCACTCACGTCCACTTTCTCGGAGGCTTGTGGTATCGTGGTGAGTGACTCTGCCACAGTTTGAGCAGCACCTGTGTGGCTGAGCGCTGGAGACTTCGATGTTGTCTGTAGTGCGGCACCACCATCGACAGACGGTGTAGCGGATACTGTCGGTCGCTGTTGCGCAGGTATCGACGCTGAGATATGCGGAGAAGCTACCGAGCTTGTTCTTCTTACAGCAGCGGCAGGGAGTGGAGCCAAGCCACTCGTTGAAGACGTAGAGGTGGCATTTGGCAGTGGTGGTAGGGGTGCTATACCTACACCATTCTTGTCGCTAGCAGCCGCAGCTGCTGCAGCTGAGGCATATTTAAGGCCCTCACCAGGAGCGCGAGCTGGTATGGGGGCTGGCTTCATGCTACTAGAGGTCACACCATTTGAGGGACTAGGCAAAGATGTATGCAGTGTTGCCAGCGCTGGTAAAGGCGACTTCATTTGTGTCGATGATCTTCGTGCTGTGGAACTCGATATGTCCGTTGATGATGCCGCCTTTTGCTTGCCGACCCCTGTGCCGATAGGTTTGCTTTCCACCTCAGGTATGTCGTCTTGTATTGATTGTGCATCCTGTGAGGATACTCTGTCCATCTCGTTGTTCATACCAAAATGCTCTTCATCCTCTTGCAGATCAAGTTCATCGTAGATGCTGTCATCCTCCATGAAATCCACTTCCTGATTGTTTTCCACATAGTACTTGATCCCCTCTTCAAGCTCTTTGACCTGTTCCGTCTCCACAGTACCGTTCTCCAGCGCACGCAATACAAGTTCGAGTTTCCCATTGTGCCATTTATGCCGTTCTATCACGCGCTCCAACTCTGATATTCGATCTGCTTTCGCTGTGTCTTTCTTGCTCTTCTTGGCGCCTACCTGCAGAGTCTCCACTTCGGCCTCCCGGCTCTCGATCTGTTGATATAGCTCGTCCATCATCGCTCGTAGAAATTCTGCCATTTCTTCTTTCTCTTGTTCTTTTGGGTCTTTCTTGGCAGCCGCCGATAAGCCTTCTTTAGAATACGCCTTGGTTTTCATTTCTTTCTCTACTGCTTTAAATCGCTCCATTTGCTACACAGACGGTAAGTAGCGTGGCGTGTAGACGGAGTGTTAGACCTCTTACAGTTTCAATCAGCTTCCGGTTATCTTGTAGGGGCTTCTTGTCCTTGATATCACCCATTTGCGCCCACGTTTTGATCTGATCACGCATTCGTTGTAGCTTCTTGATCTCCTTCTTTAATTGATCTTCTAGCTTCTCTTTCTGGGCTGGATTGTTGCAGGACATAATTTTCTCGTGTATCCCTTCGAATGCCGCAACGCCCTCTGAGACCTTCTTGAACGTTCGGTCCAGCTCATTTTGAAGCTTCCTTGCGGCCATCTTGAAGCGCTGTGAGTCCCGATATCGCGGTGTGAGATTCTGCTCAGATCGTGAAGTGTCCGTCACGCGTTTGCGAGGATTTTGGGCTGGTATTCGATGCTACTGGGTGCGGCGGTAGAGGCCTATGACAATGTTTGCTAAAGCAAGATCAGATCTGTCCAGCCTCGCGACACTGAAACTGGCAAACGTGAGGTCGGAGCTGTAACGCCGAAGTTGCTGCCTGGCGCGTTTCTTTCGGTCCTTAGGCCGGTATTTCCCCACACGCGTCACGTCAAGTACTTGAGAATTTAGGCTGATGCTCACATCATATGCCCGCTATTCACGATGAAGGGTATGTTCACGGTCTTATCATACCACAGCATGTGCTGACAACTCAGCGGTGCTGCAACGTGTCAAATCTGCCTCTGTGACAGTTGATGGCCAACTGGTCTCGTCAATTGGCAAAGGTGTATTAGTACTCGCTGGTGTATCCAAAGAAGATACGATCAAAGACGCGCAGTCGTGCGCAGCAAAGCTGTTGAAATTTAAGTTGTGGGATGACGAAAATGGGGGCAGGGTATGAAAAGCCATCTGGATCCATTCTAAAGCTGATCGTCTTCAGTGGAAGAAGAATGTGACTGAGATTTCGGGTGAAGTGTTATGTGGTACGCCATGATACTACCTTCTAGAAGGCTATGAATGACCTGTCTTGGAGTTTCACAATTTACTCTCCTCGCATCCACGAAGAAAGGCAATAAGCCGGACTTTCACAAGTCTGCCAGCGGTGACCAAGCGAAAGAGTTATACACTGCATTCTTCAAAGCAGTTCAAGACCTTTATCAGTCCGAGCGAGTGAAAGATGGCATTTTTCAGGCTATGATGGATGTAGCCCTCATTAATGATGGTCCGGTAGGTTTGGAATACCGCTGCGAGGACAGTGAGGTACACTACCTCGCCTCTCGGCAAGTTCTTCTTGCTCACATCGTACGCTAGGTAACGATTGAGATCGATACGGACCCTCCCAAGCTCGACTTACCGGGAGGAGGTGGGTCCACTCAAAGCACCTCTGTTGGCTTAGATGACTTAGTTGGACAATTCCAGAAACTCCAGAGGCAGTACGACCTCACCGAACTCTTGGCGTGAGCGAGACAACTGTTTCAGTACCTTCATCATGAAGCGTAAGCAACATCAGCTAAATTCATCCAGCTTCGGAGCGATGAAACTTGATAGTTTCCTTTCCGGGTGAGACAGCTGGCGACATCACACGAGCGTGGTAGCTGGCATTCACAGATATCTTGGTAAAAGGGCAGCTCTATCCCGCGACCGACCGACAGCCGTCGAGAATTAAGACAATCACAACATCGGATTCCTGTACAAGAGTTGAATGAGGAACTCTGGGGTCAATCACTGAAGGCGCTTGCATCCAGCCCAAATGACTCCACAAAATCCGTCCAGTGGCTCTAGCGATGCATCTTTAATAGACATCTAATCAATATGAGACCTGCCATTTGGAGAGCCCTAACCCCCTGCGCTTTTTGAGAAACTCGTGACTCTACCTTGCAGTCACACTATACGTGGAAGATATTAGCCACCAGAAGGCTTACCAGAAGCTCTGTCTATCATCTGTATAAGACAGATGGCGCTAGAAGTACCAATGTTAAGTTTAGAGGTGCGCCCGCAGGTATTCGCACGTCCATTGAAGAGTGCATGGTGGTCGCCAACGATGGACCCCTATACCTGGAGTATCCTGTATGACTTTGGCTGTCTTTGAGACTGTCTTGGTCTGTGTTCCCTGATGTAACTCGATCGTTGCGTCTATTGAGCCATTGCCATGTTGGTGATCTATAAGGATTCCAAAATGATAGCTGTCAGGACGGAATAGAGACAGTCAGGTCGTTGGCGCCTGTCGGTAGGCCAGATGCAGAATCAAGGTTGATTTCTTGTGCAGATGATATCTAGTTTCTCTTCTCCCCCATCACTAAGCATGTACGACATATTGCCATATGACGAAGTCTCCAGGACGCCGTCTCTCATTTGTTGAAGAGGATCCTGTTGCGATGAATTCAGGAATTCATTGTCTCATCACTCAATGTACCATCGTTTTGCAACCTTTCGAGCTGCCTAATTCGCCCGCTTGAGGTCTTTCTGACAAGGTAATCAGCGTACCAGCTTGCGAGCGGTGCTAAGGTATGCCACAACTAAGTTCTCATCAAATTCGATCATTAGCCCTAAACTTTAGTGGTTCCTAGCTCAGTCGAGCATCGTTACCCTAAGCATTGAGGCTATTGTCTCGACGTAATCACTGAGTGCGATCACTGAACTCTGTGGGATCCGAGTACTGTTTCACAAGATTCACCAAACCGTCCGCAGGAGGCCTATACTTACACACGTGCTGTAGCCCTTCGAACATCATGTCTGATGAAGGTGATAATTCGAACTTGCCCAAGTCGAAGCGAGATAGTCGACAGCCGACAACGATCAATAAGTGACACTAGGTCGAACAGATCCACCAATGCGGGTCTCGTATACTCTCTAGTCATTGAATTATTACTTTGAGCTCTTTTCCATCTCGCGAGCTTTGTTATGCCAACAACTCAAAGTCGCATCGATCATGGCCATACCATACATAGTCTATACTATTAGCGCAACCGTGAATTTACACATTGTCCCATGGTGTTTTCCAGATTACATATTAGACACCATCGGATCTAAACATGCTAGAATAACTCATGAGGCCAAATCAGGGTAATCAGTAATCTACTAATCTGGACTGTATTTAGGAAGCGCCCAATGCCCAGCTTGTTAAGGTTACTTAGTGAAGGACACCATGCCTAGGCGTTGCTTTCTTCGTCTATCAAAACGAATAAGGGAAGATCTACGCAGAAAGAATTTGGAGTGCAATATAAGCAACCTTAGCGGTCTACAAAAACGCAAAACATTCAACAGTAGGTATTCGCTAGTAGTCACCCACCTTACTACTAATCTACCCCTAACCAGCTTAAATAGGCGGGAGCGAACGGGACCGCTTGCTTTCTGGTTGGTATGGCCGAATGTGCTAGAACTGATGTAACGATTCATTATAATCGTACACAATTAATGGTAATATTGCTAAGGACTTCCTTCACTCGTCCAAACCGGAATGATAAGGTCGCTTCCCTTGATTTATCATATAGTCTAAATCTATAACTTAGAAGCGTCGTTCTAAAAATATTAGTATAAGTACCTATCTAGCATGTTAGTACTAGACGTTAGTAATTATTCTTATAGAAGGACACAGGCTAGATGTAATAATATACTCCACTCTCTATTCTTATGAATTCAAATAGTACTAGTAATAGATCTTACTAGACACGCATATATAGAGCTATAGATACGGCCTTCTATAATAGCTATAATATATATAATAGTAGTAATTACTAGGTAATATTATTTTTTCTACTTCTTTGTTAATCTTTACTAATAGTAATAGATTTAGATTTCTTTCTCTATACTAGTACTTACTAATAGTATTCTATAGAAACATTAAGATTTCTCTACCTTACTAGCTAAAGAGTTACTAATCTAATAATAATAGCTTAGATATTAAGAGTACTTAGGCTTCTATAGAGATGTACATTTTCTTACTAATTTTTAGTAATCTATACTAATTCTTACTAATTTTAGCATGCTTATTTTTTCACTGGCGCGCCTGGGTAAGGATCTACCAAGATTAGATTAGTAAAGCGCTTCAAGGCCTATACATTGATTAACTTACCCGATGAGCCTGCGCTAAGGTTAAGCCGAGCCACGACGACTCTAAGGTTATACAGACACCTTGGGAGATTGGTTCCCTCCACAGGGGTTAAATCCCGAAAGTGGTCACCTTTAGTGGACAAGGCACACTCAACGGCATTCTGATAGATCTCCTCGAGCGTTATGTTATACTTCGTATATAATTTGTCTGATCTTTCTGGCGCAATGGGTTTGAAATGAACGGCGCCCTCGGCGTTACATACTTCATGTATTTCCCCGATTCTGAGACAATGCTGTATGACGATGTCAGTAAAAGGCATGAGTATACACGTTGCAACAAACATTATAGTACTCCGGCCATCCAGGTCTAGGATGTTTGGTGGTAACATTCATCCAGCGCCCTTCTGCATAATGATGGCAGATTGCCTCATCTGTCACGGCAGGTTCTTCCCCCTTTTCATTAAGCTTCCAATGAGTTTCTACAAAGATACCCATACCGTATTGGCTCAAAGCCTGTCCAACTATGGCCTTTTGCTGTAGACTTTCAGTATTGCAAACCTCTTGTCGATGCGAAGAACATACCAAGTTTCTACCAAAGATTTTTACCGTTTCCTCAGCTCGGACACTTGTCGTTGCCTTATCTTGAATCCAGTTACTGCTCGAGAATATCATTGCTATACGCTGCGCATCATGATTCCAATTGCCTTCCTCTGGCAGAAGCTTGTCCAGGGGGGTCTGCGGCACGTCTATGCCCTTAAATATGGCAGACATAGCTGACCTTATGTCTTGGTTCTGCTCTTGCCATATTTGACGCAGGTAATGTTTTATCTCGGCTGCTGGGAATTCCTTGGAAGTCTTCTCGTTGAGCATGTCCAAGCTCCTCGCCGTCCCAAAAGCAGCCATCGCTAGGGAAAAGATTGTGTCTGCGGGAAAGTCCAGTTTAACCGCATAGATGAAAAACAGCAAGTTGTTCACGATAGACAAGGCGAGCGGTTGCTTGTACTCTTTAGGCTTGAGATCTTGCATGATAGAGTCAAGTTCGAGACCCTCCTGGCCGAACAGTGTATCTATGAGCGTCCCAACCAGCGCATGAAAAGAATACATGCTAGCCGCCGCCATTCTTATGAAGTAAACCTCAGGAGGGGTGAAGTCCGTACAACGTAGGCTTGGGAAAGGACATACGTCCTGGGCAGGATATTGATCGCAATGTAAGCTCGATGATCCTTGGGAACCTCCAGCGGTTGTCGCAAGGTCCATATTGTGCAGCCAGTCTACCGGCCCATTCTTGCGCAAGAAAGCCTCCAGGAAGGCGGATGCATTTGATTTCGTCCAAATGTCTGGGTCGTTTTCAGAGATAGCACATTTTTCGGTTGCGTTAGTGGACGGCCACTGCTCTGCTCGAGTGACGTGCGCATCGATTGCGATTGAGGATATGAGAAACGTTAACAGAATATTACAAAGCATCCCGAAGAGCAGCCAAAAGCGATGACATAGGCATTGGCTAGTGATGTCCACGAGTTACTGAAAAGAGGGAGAGCCAGATGTTAACATCGGGTCTAGATCACGTATATATACGCATGCTTGTGTGTATTGTCACATTGATATGCAGCGTTCCCCATGTTCGCTCGGGCATGTGATGGGTGCATCATCAACGGCTTACGCTATGAGGAAATATGGCCTCATCCCTGACGTTTCATGGAAGCCCCCACTATCGTAGTCTGTAATTAGAAGCACAGGCACAAGCATGCACCTCCCCACGCCATCGATCATGCTAATAGAACTGACTCTTGACTGAGAATGGATGATTCGTGACATATACACTTGCAGCCACCCCTTTAAGTCATAGGTCTTATCCTCCTTCCTATCATCCTTATTTTATGTCTACTACCAGTCGAGATGATGGCCAGTTTATAAGCTACATTGTCAATTGAAACCTAGTATAACATGGTTCATATATTGTACTGCTGTAAACAAATATTGATGCGTTTACGAACTATAAAGACATTCATAATACTGTGCTGTAAGATGCAACCGTCCGGTCCTAGCTGTCAGCCTTACAATGCTTAGCCCATTATGCCATGCGGGTAATATACCGGCAAGGCTGAGTCTGTTTGAGCGCTAGATGTAACCCTCTCTCAGATTGGTGACTTGCGTTCTCTAAACTGAGCACCGAGTACGACATTGTCGTACTGAGTGGCGTCAGAGCCATGGATGTGCCTACAGGACACATACAACACCGCGCTGAGAACGGCATCGTCATAACAAATACTTTCAAACCAAGTGTGCGGTCTTTCCAATGCATACAACTTTCTGCCGTACTATTACCCTATCTCTCATAACCAAGATGGACAAGATTCCATCGTCTTCTCCGCCCATCTCCCATTCAGAGTTTACAAGCTTTGCCAAGAGTGTGCATTACCATACCCACCCGAATGACATTCCGGCCCCATGGGGTTGCATCTACAAGAGCGTTCGTTGCACGACAGCTTATCTTTTCCCCTGCAAGCCACGAATCATATCGACGACATATCACGCCTAAGGGCTGGGCTATGGTATGCGAATATGGATGTCACTCTTCTGTGGCATCGCTGAGAACTCGACTCAAGTCAAGCTTGGTTTCAATGGTTTCAATGGACTCGAGTCAGCAGCTCGACGTTGTTTCCTGCTCCTATTTCGCCACTATCGCCTCTGCGCTTCGCTGTGCCCACGGCAGATCGATTTGGGGCGTATGAGCCCATATCTACTCATGCGTTCATGGTTTGTGGTCTGTCAAACGCCTGTATGCTCACGGTTGTGAAGGTGCTCGTTGCTCGCAGGTCGACGCGACGGTTGGCGGGCCACCGACACATATCACTACCAGCGTGTGCTTTTATGTGGTATGTCAAATAATACTTGGTTCTACGTCTCCACGGTCCCACGAGGAAGCGCGGGAGCTATCTTATCAGCTAATGTACTATGTATCCCTATATCTGAACTTAGCTTGTTTCATACACTTCGTGTCTATTTTCTAACTCTATATCTAGTTCTGTTACTAGCTTTTGTATTTTAAGCTTATTATTAGAGTTAGGCCCTGGATTGGAAACAGATAATTTAAAGATGCCTAGCCCGGCTGTTCACAATAATCACGAGCGAAAGCTTAGGGAGTTGCTGTTGTGCTCTTGTGCCACACACGCGCACGTACCACAAGCTACACTGACAACGCAACGACACATGATTGGTCAGGAGCCTAATGCTTCCCATTTGTTAAGCTCGTTCAGGCGTAGCTTTACTCTTGGCAGGGGTAACATGAAACTCTGCTGCCACGTCGTTCTTCCAGACTTCCACGTCCAGGTCCGCGTCGACGGCCAGGTCCACGGACACACGTTATTTCAAACGACTCCATTGTCATTAGCCACATCTTCGATGCCCTTTCATAGCAGCCTGAGGTATCTATCCTCACTTGTGCCCTTTTCGCTGCCTTTGTTCCGAGCTCTTGGAGCACCTCACACGTCTTCTAATCTTAGGCATGGCACGCACCTGCACCTCATGCCTGCAATGACTATCCAGGAAATCCCGTAGCCTAGCGCGGCGATCGCGCAGTGTCGCGAGCGTATTGGATATGTATGAATTGCATCATACTCCATGATCACAGCACTTTTGGCATTGAGCGATTGATAGGCCGGGTATCTGATGCTCACGTCTACAAGGGCAAGAGTCATGGGCACGCCGATAGCTGTAATTACCTCTTGTGTTTGACAGAGGTCCGCCCAAGTCCTTCAAATGGGGTGTGGATCGTGTTATCTAGGAATCAGACGATGACGACCGGGTTCCTGGGTGTCGCAGTAGAAACAACGTGGACCCACGTGAGTCAGGTATCACAGCAGCAGTCGCGTGGTCATGGGCCTCTTATGAATTGATTGTTTGATGTGTTCCTGGTAATGTTTCAGGCAGCCCAGTACGTTGTGGCTCTATCACTATCGACGTCATATGATCAGCTCCTTCGATTGTATCGCAATGCACGTCTCACGATATTCCTGGGTGTCTCGCATCCCTCAGACTCGTGAATGACGCACGGTGCATTTCATCGCAATGATCTTGCGAATCACGTCATCATCGAAGCCTTAGGCTACAATGTGTCTTCCGAGTGGCCTTTCGGGTTTGGCACCACCATTAGTTGCTCAATCGTTCCTAACGAGACCTATAAGCTTCGATATATCAAGAGCCCATCGGTAACAAGCTTTGTCATTTGCCTTTCCGATTCCGTCCATGTCGGGCAGCGCTCTCTCTCGTGAGTACTACGTCTTCAACCTCCGGATATCAGTTGTGGATAAAAGTCGTACGCCAAGACTTCAGGACCCTCCCATTGCTCACCATACGGGTTCGTCGACGTGCCGGCGAAGAATTCGTTATGCGCTTGTTGCAGCACGTCTAGCCACGACGATGGCTCAGGCTGTTTTGCCCACTGGTTGTGGATGTGGTAGGCGTATGAGCCCCGATAGAAATTTTGCATAGTGCGATTGCTTGGTGCAAATCGATCACGGGTCGCGTCGTAGTTGGCTACGATGCCTACATTGCGGAGAGCAGTTTTCAGATCGGACACTGAGCTACTGCGATCGGCCAAGATGGATGCAAGAATAGCGAGAGAGCTCCCTTCTTGGACTGAGTCAAGTTTGGTCTTTACGTTCTGTGGGCGGGAAAGATCGAGGGTCTTCAATGGCGCGCCCTCGAACGCGGACCATTCAGCGTCAAACTTTTGCGCTCGAAACGCATCGTCTATCCAGGTGAGGCAAGGTACAGTGCACTGGCCTTCATATCCTTCAAATATTGTCCAAACAGGATCGAAGGCTGCATCGTTGAGCTTGAGGAACTCCTTGTCACGACCATCGGTGAGAGCCATCTTTCCAACTACCCGTGGGTGGAACATTGATCCCATCCGCACAGCACCTAGTAGGAAGTAGGTCGACAGACGTGACTGAGGACTTAGCGACATTACGGCCGTGTTATAGTCCCCTGGTGCGACCGCAGTGCCCCATCTTTCGGCCCAAGTGTGGTTTTTAGGAAGCAGAAGCGGCCTTAAATCGCGCAACAGTAGCATATCAATATCGAGATACACGCCTCCGTGCATGTGAAGCATAATGAATCGCACCGCGTCAGACAGCGCGGCCGGCTCGAAGGGCATGAGCTTAGGATCGATATCAACTCCAGGAAGGTCGAAAGGATGTTCATCAGGAGGTAGCGGCACCCAGGACGGGAACTTCCACGGCTCGACACGTAGATCCCCTCTCTCGACCAGTGGGAGGAATCTTGCGAAGATTGGATGACTCAATGTATCTCTGACAGCGTTTGGATTACTATCCGCATCAAACCACAGCCATAGCTGCGAACAGGGGATGTTCTGAGTGAACAAATAACTTTTGATGAAGGCCTCCACGCGCCATGTCACACTTCCCGACCAGTATGTGTGGTATGGTATTACGGGCCCATGGCATGCTCCGCGGGAGGTGCTTGTGGGGGCCTGGTACTCTGGGTATTGCTGCATTGTGTTGTGATTGCCATCAGCGTTATCATATTCGGCATGTTGAGGATTCTGTGCGCTCGCTCGTAGAGTGATATCCGGGAGGCTGTAGTAAGAACTTTCGCCCTCTGCCAGAAGCTTCATACAGCTTGCAATATCTCTTATCTTTTCGTTCTGGACATAGCTTCCCCGACAGGTTTCGACGATAAGTTGTATGTCGGCTTCGGTATCGACGTCGGGTCGAGGTCCTAGGTAGTCAGGGCGATTCTCGACGCTGTGAGTAGGTCGATTGAATACATTGGCAGCGGGGTTAATCTGCATGGACCGGAGAGGATACGCCGCCGACGTGTTTACCAACAGCAAGAGCTCTGCTGGAGTGCTAGGGACATAATGTCTAGCGTCGCCTCTGTACCATGCTGCGAGTATCCAGACGACCCGGATGAGGAGCTCTGTGACAAGAATATTTCTCAGGATTTCGAAAACCTTGTATGCCTGAGGAGGTAGGTTGCGTTTCATCGCAGAGTCAGAAACCAGCGTGTCTGCACACATTAAAGGAACGCGTGCAGAGAAGAAGCGAGAGAGCAGGATGGCTGAGGGCCCGAATGAGCGTGTCCGTAATGAACGTGCTGATTAATGCGCCTCCGTTGGTTGCCTAAATTATATTTTTCTTAGTGCTCATCCAGCATACCCAGACGCTCATAACATGTATATGGGTATTCCTATATGCTACAAAATTATCATGTAGCCCTATTCCATCGAGAGTAAAGAGTTTATTGAAAGAAAGTAAGATGGTCTATATGAAAAACATAGAGTATTACTACCGAGGAAACATGTCCGTCTTCTCTTTCTTAGCCTCTACAATAGACTTGATAAAGAACAAAATACTTATGAGCTAGATATGACTAACTATCTCATCTTAGATAGTATAGACAATATACTGTATCAAGGTTTCATTCAGAGATGTAAGTAGAATTAGTGGTAGAGTTGTGCCAAGAGCATAAACGGGTGCCAAGAGTGACAGGATCTAGCACGTGTCCGTATCGCCATCGCCCCCGAATTCACGATCACTTGGGACTGGCATCAATCTGAACACGCCGATTCTCTCACAGTCATCGGAGTCTATGTATCCATGTACAAATCCGTGAAGTTGCATGGTCACAGATAGATAGAGGCATGTCCCCTCATCACTCCTCCCTGGCAGGCCTTCTCCATCGTGTGACCTCCGTTTTAGCTTCTGTCGGCTCGGGAAACCTGAAGGCTCAATCATTTGCTGCACAAGCTGTTGCGGCGGTATTGGCCTGGATCCTGATATACGCTGGATACTGGCTCACTTTCTTGAATCAATATGTTCTTGCGAGTATGTGATGTTTTCCGGGCCTTTCGGAGAGACTTCTAACTCGTACGCAGCTGGTCGTTTCAAATTTCCATACCCTCTTGCCGCAACCTTGATACAGCTCACGGTGTCAGCCGCCCTGTATACAACTCTGCTTGCCATAAGTCGACTCTGGCGCCCCGATTCAAGTGATCGCTATCAGCCGTTATCTTCGTGGAATCAACATGATGGTGCTGCTTCCATCGGTAGTGTTCTCGAAGAGTCTCGACAGAGACACTCGAAAGGGCCCACGCCCGCAGTCATCATACAACGAATCCACTCTTGGGGAAAGCAGTATATAATGCTGGCCCTCGTGCTGTGTGCGAAGCTCTACTTCTCGAATTGTTCATTGGCGTAGGTCGACCTGACCAGCTACATGGCCATGGTCTGAAGGGCATACTATAGCTGCTAACACGATTCAGATATTCCGACGCCCACAACTACGAACTCGCTGAGATCATCGCGGCTTCTCTCCTAATGACATACACCATCGCTCACGCCAATGACGAACTATCTTCCCTTAGCATCACTACGTTTCTAATCGCTACCATGAACGCCTTTTTCGCTGACATCAAACCCAACATTCGCCTCCCATGGGAGGTCATATTGTCATTGGTATTTTCATGTCTTCTCTCTGCCGCCTTTCCCGCAATCCTCATACGAGCGTATGGATTCCACGCGGAGCCTGCCACAACATGGTCTCAACGTTCTGAAGACGGAGATCTTGCTCCTGCGCTGAACCATGTTTCGTTGACTGAACGACTTCGCATTTCACTTGAACTACTACGCAACGCCGTTTTACTGTCGCTGCTACTTGTCTTGACACTGTTCATTGTAACAGGCGAGATATTATCTGTCTGGCGGAACTACTACTTCCTCGGCGATCAATCCTTTATCCTGATAATGGCTGCTAGTGGTGGCCTCACGGCGCTGACGATCTGTTCAACCCTTCTCCTTGTACAGGCTACGAGCCCATTATTTGTGGTTTTTGTGCCAGTAATGAAGATTTTGTGGCGGCTTTGGTGGTACGACAGTAAGCTCGATGGTATGAGCCACATTCGGGTTGTTGTGGGTGGGTTGGCCGGGCTCTGGTTTTCTGGGAGCGGCTCATGGCCATGAAGCGGTGAGCACATGTCACGCAAACACGAACACCAATCTTGCTCCCGCCAACTCGAACACAGCGTTTATTGATCAACGGTGACCTGATGTCGTGGTTTGGTGAAACAAGAAACAAGAGATAGTCTTGGCATTATCAGCAGATCTCAAACGATGCATGAAACGTTGCTGTGAGATCCGCTATGGCTCGAGAAAGCTACGTTCAGGACCGCTAAGGCATAAAAACGGAGACCGACGTAACTCTAAACCTATCATTAATCTAAGCTTCTACTGCGTCTACCATCACTCGAGCATCATGTGATGTGCCCTAAGTGCTCGCTGATACAGCGCTACCATTGGTCTTGGGTGCACTCTCCTCAAGTCCCATAATGACACCATCAACCTCCCGTCCCTAACAGCCCCATGTATGAGTGCGACCCAACTCCCAATCGTCCTCTTCTTCCTCCCGTCAATAACGTTCTGATCCACATCGAATACGCCAGGATGCTCCACCAAACCACGATGCAGTGGCACGCCAAGCACACCACGGACAAACTCGTAGCAAGCCTTCGATGCCTTACCTAGATACGCAGCTGTTGTGGGCGCGCTGAAGAACGCGTCACGATGAGAAACGTAACGCGCGAGCAATGCAGCACCGAGCTCTTCGCGGAAGCGCTGCGTGTCCGAGAGAGAAACAGGGCAGGCCTGCGACGCGAGATGTGCAGTGAGCACAGGGACCAGTGCAGCGGCAGTTGCGTCGCAGCGCTCACGAGCATCGAGTGTCGCACTTGCGTACCAAGTCGCAGCGAGCGTCTTTACGAGCTCGGCGTGTAGCTCGTTTGAGACGGCATCGGCCAGAGCAGGCGTCTGGGTGATGAGTCCTCGCAAGGAGGTATTGAAAGAGGCGAGGAAAGAAGCGTGGAGGACGCGCAGGTCGAGGGCCTGGCATGTGGTGTAGAACATGCTGGCGCACATCAGTTGCATGACCTCGACGGCCTGCATGGTGTAGCGCGAAGTCAAAAGAGCGAGCGAGTTGATGGCTTGGTTGTGCATCTCGGCTGACTGCACATGGCTGGAAACAGGATTTGCGAGGAAGCCGAGCTCGGATTGGTACGCAGCCATGTTGACATCGATACCCTTGAGACAGAAAGACAGGCTGGGGTCGTCAGCGGCAAGATTTGGCGGGAGGCCATTGTTGAGTGTGTTGTTGATTATCTCGGTGGCTTGAGCAAAGACGAGCTTTCCGAGCATCTGGAGACAGGAGCGCGTCTTTTCGGATGCGAGGGTGACGGCGGCGGCTTGGAAGTTGGCACCGCTATAGATTTCGGAGCGCTCTGAGTCAACTATTGGATTGTCGGAAGTGGAATTCAGCTCTGTTGTGATCTGAACTGAGGCCGAAAGGAGGTCTTCCAGTACAGGGGACATCCATTGCGGGGCGCTGCGGAGGGCATATCGCTCCTGAGCGAGGCCCGTCTTGAAGCGGTCTTTGTCTCCTGACAGACCGACAACGAGCTTGGAGCCGGCAAGAAACGACCGAAAATTGCATGCGGCTTCAATCTGGCCACTGTGTGGTCGAACGTCGGCTATGAATGGGTGTGTCCATTCGACATTGGCTGCAAGGGACTCGGACGCCATTGCCGTCAAGACCTGAGAGACGACGGCGAGATTGTTCGCTTCATATACGGCTAAGCTGGCTACCGCAGCAGAGGCTGCCGTTCCATTGATTAGACCGAGCCCTTCCTTTGGACCTAGGATGACTGGTTCCAGGTTCAATCTTCGGAGAGCATCGTCTGCGGAGGTAGTCAGACCACCATATGCACTCCCCATCCGGACATGAGTATCTGGACAACCCATGATGGCGCTGGCAACGTAGGACATAGGCATTAGATCCCCAGATGCCGATACAGACCCACGGAGGGGAACAAGCGGCGTGCAATCGTTCTGGATCAGCTGGATCACCCTTTCGGCGACCGGCATGGACACTGCTGAATGGCCTCTGATGTTCGTATTTGCACGAATGAGCATAGCTGCCTTCATCCAGACACTAGGCATTACATTGCTACCATATTCATCATGGATTTTGCCAGCGATATCTGACTCGGTTACGACTGCCGAAGTTGTGTGCTGAATCAGGGCTCGCTGTAAGGCAAGAAGGTCTGTCGTTCGAACATCAGCTGATCCCCCGAAGCCGGTGTTTACACCTATGTTCCCAGTCAGCCGATCTAGCCTTTAGGTTGGAGACAAGAATGTACCATAAAGATAAGCACCATCAGAGAGATATGACATCAGCGTTTCAACGCTTTCGTTCACCTGGGCCAGCACATCGGGCCGTTTATCGATGGTAGGCGTACAACGATGTCGTGAAACTGCCACTACACTGGCAATGTCCAAAGAACGACCATCAATGCTAAGCTCTCCCTGAGCAATGAGCTGCTGTAACTTCGTCTAAGCTCTTTTTGTTTGCTCTGCGTGTGGTCGAGGCCGCGCAAACGAGTCTAGTATAGGCATCTGTGACTTCTGGATGTCTATATCTGGCACGCCTTCAACGCCTTCAGCAGTCACCATGGCGAGGTTTATTTTGCGAGAGCAGAGTGTGTCTTGCCGTCTGGTAGATGGGAGATGAGTCGAGTCTGCAGTTCTCGGGGTGCAGCCAGATTACTTAACATATCACCAGTCGCCCATTTCCTCACATCCATGTTAATTCAATAGGGTGATGAGCGGTGGCACCATGTGTTCCTCCGAAACTGTTGAGGATACGTACATATTGCACTAGGTGCTTGCCCAACGTCCACAACTATTCAGCTCGTCAGGCGGATGTGAGCACATTATCCTTGTTGAAAGGTTGACAGTAGAGTAGCACTAAGACTGGGACTTCATGGTCAAGGGCATCTATCGCAATTTAGGCTGTTGATTCGATGAGGTTCTAGCACGGGGAGGGCTGCGAAAGGAACGACGAAGAAGTACTAAGTACACCTCCATGTTTATGGAGGACGACCGGTAGGGATCAAGAAGGTTTCGTCACGCGCTAAAGCAGGCTGTACTTCATATAGCCTCATACTATAGTATTCGATGTAATACTTATCCAAATAAGGGATGCTCTCCCTAATAGGTTATTCCGTATGCTCTTAGCCGAGTTGCTCCGCTCGTGCTAGGGAGTTCAGGGTAGAGATGATATATATACTAATGTTTATGAGATTCTCAAGATTCTCTACTCTAGGGCCTAGATTCGAAGTCATTTTGATTTCAGTCATGTTAGTAGACTGAGCGTCAGAAAAGCCTCTCAACCGACAGAGTTATGACAAAGAGTTATATATCATGCGTATCAGGATATGTATAGAAAACTAACTCTAAATTACAGTTATAGCCGAAATAAGGATGAGGTATATAAGACGGATCGATTTCGGCGAAATAGGTGCCCCTTCCATGGATCTATAGACCCTCTTTTGTACCTAGTTATCTCCTGTTGTTATAGTATACTCTTCATACTTCTCTGTTTTCTCGTTCTATACGCCTATTCTTTAGTATATTGACGAGGGACGGATTCTATAACATACATATAGTCTTGGCGTGTATATTGGGAAATGGGTTTTACGGACTTAATCTAATAAACCTCTGTAGGACCTATGGATCTACTACTTTGAGACAGGGCCCTTTAGCGGCGTGCAATGGTGTGTGACGATGCGCAACGATGTGCAACGATGCGTGACGATGCGTGACGATGTGTGATGACGTGTAACGACATACTTTAACTTCAGAGAGAAGGTCCGTTTAAGCAAGATCATGGGGTCAGTCTAAGTAGATACTGGTAGAGATTCTGTGATGATATGATTAGTCACCAGCTCAACCCACGTTTGGTGTTTCGATAGCTTCCTCAACAGTGATAGAACTACTATGCTTCCTCTGGACTTCTACTCAACATTCACACAGGCAGTCAGGAGACCCATGCCTAATTAATGAACACGCCATGCAGATATCCGAGCACGCTGATACTGTTACCAAGTGTCTTCCTCCCGTCGGGATCTTTGCTGAAATGTCACGACATGTCGCATCGAGTCTTAGGACGTTATTCCATCGTACCAACGGCGGAAACATTTCTGCTACTCTCATTGTGCTACGAAACACCAAAAATCGACAAACGCGATGCGTGATGTCTATTCGACCGCTGATGGCACGAACGTCCGGTCGGATTATCGCCAATGACCATGATCCAGCGCGATGAACATGCAGCTGTTAGTTTCGTCGCACAAAGTCAGGTCTATGACGGCTACTCTGTTAAGCTTCTCTTGTCTTCCAGTGGACGATGACGATGTTTAGTCTCTCTCCAAGTCTGGGAGAATCTTCGAATCGAGTTCGCTTTCGGGAGAAGGATGTCTTGGGCAATGGAGATCGAAACGCCAACATATACAGACCTCGTAGTCATAGGAGCAGGTCCTGCGGGACTTATGGCCGCATGCTGGGCTGCGCGTTACCATGTCAACGTTCGAATTCTCGATGACAAGCCCGAGCGTGTCCTTACTGGACATGCAGATGGCCTGACCTGCCGGACGCTTGAGATCTTTGACAGCTTCGGTATTGCGCATGAGGTCTGCAGCGAAGCATCCGTTGATGTTCAGATGCGATACTGGGTGGGAATAATTATCGTTTTCTGGGACGTGCTGCTGATTTTCGCAGAGACCGAATGGAGTAGGTGGTCTGGAGCGATTCCAGTCCCTCATATCACAAAAGCCAGGCGTAAGCCGGTTTCAGCAGTGTCTGCTGAGTCAGGGGCGGATCGAAGAGCTCCTGGAACGAGTCTGCGCAGAGGGCGGAGTGCTTGTGGAGCGAAACATGGAGACGCTCGAACTGGGACCGATTGAGGAAGACGAGAGCTGCAAATATCCGATCGAGGTGAAGATCAGGCGCAAGGTCAATCCAGGCACACCGTCGGAGCAGGAACCAGCCGTCGATGCCAACGACTCTATTGATGACCATGGCATAAAAGTAATCAGATGCAAGTATCTTATTGGAGCTGATGGTGCGCATAGCTGGACTCGCCGACAGCTTGGGATTGCTGCTACAGGAGCGTCTACAGACGAATGCTGGGGCGTGATTGATTTGGTCCCTCTGACCAACTTTCCAGACATTCGACAGAGCTGCGTTATCAGTTCGCTCCATGGCAACATTCATGTCGTCCCGCGAGAAAGACAATTGGTACGACTCTATATTCAGCTTGAATCAGCAACGCCGGGTGAGCGCCTAGACAGGAGCAAGATCACTGCCGAAATGTTGATATCTACCACGAAAAAGATCCTGCATCCGTATACCTTCGAATACGCTTCGATCGATTGGTTTACTGTCTACCAAGTTGGCCAGAGGATAGCGGACAAATTCAGCGCAGCTGAGAGGGTGTTTCTCGTAGGCGATGCTGTCCATACACACTCACCGAAGATAGGACAAGGGATGAACGTGAGCCTTCAGGACGCGTACAATCTCTCTTGGAAGATCTGTTCAGTCATCAAAGGCATCCTCAAGTCGAGCTCACTTGCAAGCTACGAGACCGAGAGACGTCCAGTAGCAGAAGAACTCATTGATGTTGATCGAGAGACAGTCAGTTTCTACTGCTCCAGAGGCGCCATTGACCGTGGTGGACTGCAAGAATTTCGCAATAAGCACTACCGCTTCCTCAGTGGAGTTGCGGTCGACTACTCTGGGAGTGAGATGATCTCACCAAAGCACGTTTCTCTGCCGAGATTCGATGATGAACCTTCCACAGAAGCTTGTGAATCATTGGTCGAGGAACGATTTAGTCACATATGTCTTGGACAACGCCTTCCATCATATCGTGTGGTGAAGCATGCGAATGCAGAACCTACGTCTGTTGGAAGTCTTTTGAGTTCAAACGGTCGCTGGAAGCTTCTAATCTTTACTGGTGACTTGCGCGTAGAGGCACAAGCAGTCCGGTTCAACAACGTCAGCAAAGCAATCTCAGCCACCTCTTGTTCAATCCGTCAACGGTCTGCGCTTGACATGGGATGTCAAGCTAGCGTTGATATCTTCGCGATAATGGCATGCCCTCGCGACTCGGTGCCGCTGCTGAGTCTGCCGGAAATCTACCACCCATGGAACGAGAGCACTGGGTGGGAGTATGATACTGTCTACACTGACGAACCGGACGTGTATGGAGTGTGCGAGGATGCATATGGCCGATATGGCATCGATCGCACCCGGGGCTGTCTCGTGCTATGCAGGCCGGACCAGCATGTCGCCTACTGCGGTGAACTCGAGCACACGGCAGGATTGGAGCTGTTCTGTTCGCGCATTTTCATGGAGACAAGGAGTGAATGTGATTGATCCCGTGTAGTGCACTAGGCGTGGCGTGCCTCTGTGAGTCAGGATTAGTGACAAAGCTTCAAAACCACACTACCTACACTGTTGCCTGCCCGGCCATTGATGCGTCATCCATATATGTAGCCTATTTGCTTCTTTACAAAGTCACACCAACGGCATTGCGACCTATCAATTTCCCTCAAGCTCGTACAACCGGAAGAAAGCCAGAGGTGCCTGGTGGCGTTCATATCGCTATATCCGTTGATAGATGCAACCACGACCCCACATGGATGCACACGGATCCTTAACCCGCCACGTCTTTTTTTCCACCAGAACATCAGAAACGCACTCACTTCATCGACATCGTATCTCACCTTTTCATTCAGTGATTCCGGGTTGGATGTGAATGTGCCAGATGCTACTCGAGCCCATTTTTTACCTGCCTGACCTCTGCCACCTTTTCTGTAACTCAGGCTGCACCAACTCGACGGCGAATCTCGGTTTTTTAGCAAAGACAACTGCATCGCACCCTCGAGAATACAGTCCATATGGCGACAGATGGCTCGACCGAACGCAGGCCGCTTCTTGAAGCTCAGAGGCCTTCAGCATCATCCACAACCACGGCCTCTGGTGTGGCAGAGCAAGACGAGCTCAGCGGCGCGCAGTTGTATCTCACACTATTCTTTCCATACCTAGGCCAGCTTCTCCTCGCCATGGACGCAACCATCACGACCACTGTGTCTGCGACAATCGCTTCAGATTTCTCCTCATTGGCCATTGTCTCATGGCTAGGCTCATCTTACCTCGTGGCCACAGCTGCTACGCAACCTGTCTCTGGGGGACTCTCCGACCGCTTTGGACGTCGGAGTAGCCTGATAGTCTCCATCATCGCGTTCGGCGTGGGGAACTTGATGTGTGGGTATGCGGAGTCTACTAGCGTCATGGTCGCTGGGCGGGTGGTTGCAGGTGCTGGAGGCGGTGCAATGAGCAGCATTACTCAATTCATCACGAGCGACATTCTTCCACTGAGGAAACGGCCATTGTGGCAGGGCATTGGGAATGTCGTCTGGGCCGCCGGAATCGGACTTGGTGGAGTTGTCGGCGGTGCGATCAACGACTGGATCGGATGGCGATGGGCGTTCCTGGGCCTCACGCCCTTGACGTTGCTGATCCTGCTCGGGTCTATCTTGACTCTTCCGTCCAAGATGGACAAAACACAGGGAGTCAATCTGCATCTCGACTATCCTGGAGCCATACTACTCTCAACTTCACTTGTTCTGCTGATACTCGGCCTCAACCTGCTGGAAGGAGGCCAGGCCGACATTGCTCCATTGGCACTTCTCGGCATAGCGGCAGTCCTTTTGCTCTTCTTCATCGTCTTCGAATTCCAATATGCCACGGAACAGATCATACCAATACAGCTTCTGGGCAATCGCAGCATTGCTGGAGTCTGTATGTCCGGCTTCTTCGTCTCTGCGTCAATGTACACGTTACTTTTCTACGTTCCGCTACTGATACAGGTCCGCGGTTTCACAACGAGTGAAGTGGGCATCCAGTTTCTGGGCGAGGTAGCTGGTGCGTCAATTGGGTCGTTTGCTACTGGAGCGACCATGCGGGCTATTGGAGGCTACGGCCTGCTCAAACCGCTGGTATACCTTGTCTTTGTCGCAGCTCCCCTCCTCTTTTTCCTCAGTACTCTGGACTGGCCCATCTGGACGACTGTGGTGTCACTGATTGCCATGGGTAGTGGTTTCGGGAGTGTTTTGACAGTCATTGTGACGGGCTTGCTGGCGGTCACAGAGCAGCGCATCCAGGCGCCAGTCACGGGAATGCTGTACGCCTTTCGACAGGCAGGGTCATCCAGTGGTCTTGCGGTTGCAGGCATCCTTTTCAGAGTTCTGGTCACGAAAGAGCTTGGCACTGGCGCGACAGTCGATAACATCGGTCGACTGTGTCATCGAAAGGGCGAGCTTGTGCAACATCGACCGGAGATCTGCGTGGCATATGGACGTGCACTGCACTGGACGTTTCTGTATTCCTTTATCTTGAGTGTGATTGCATTTGTCACTGGTATGATGCTTCGCAACGTGTCTCTGGACCGAGAAGAGACGAAGAATCAGATTGAGAGAGCTCTGCCTACCGACGGGGATTCAGCACCGTAGCTGGACCGGCAATTAACAAAGGCGCGATATTGCCACCAACTACGAAGCTTGACGGAAGCCTGGAGCCTCACATGCCATCAAACTTCTGCCAGGGCGGCAAGCAGTTCGTGCGTTGCTCGCTCGAAATATCTGAGGACTAGCTGCGTCTCGACTGAAGATTGCCCATAACAGGTCCTGCAGAAACCCTCCTGCAGTCCCAAAACCCCAGCCATTCTCCCTATCTGTCTCAACACTCTGCATTCCCGTCGTCTCCAAAGCCAGATCCCACATCCCCCACGTCGATGATCAGGCCTTTTACCCGAGCGCCTGCTGGATCGGTTCTCTGCGCCGGCCAGATCAAGCCCAAAGCACGAGCCACCTACCTATCGTGGTGATCTCCCGGGAGCATGGCGGCAGGGTATATCCGCTTTCATGCGTGAGCAGGGACCCATGGTTGATGCCCCTGTATACGGTCTATCATCATGTGCATGCGGGGTACCTGTGGCATACCGAGCAGGGTTGGGGGATAGTTTGCAGTGTGCGAGGAGGAACACGAGGCATCGGAAGACTTCACATGTTTTAGAGTAATAGTAGCCCGTAAGAATAATCACAGGACAGACAGGACTGTGCAAGGTGGATGATAATCAGAAATCTCCGCAGTCTCGACACTTTCATACCGCCGCAAGGGAGGAGGGGTGTAGTGCATGTTCCCCCCAAACCCCCCTGTCCCACCACCGAACATGGGAATATATACTCCAAGCCTTATAGCACGACAATGCGCCCAATGCAGCAATCGCGCTTCTAGAAGTGCGCTTGTCGTAATTATTTCGAGTTCTTTTCCAGGGGCGGTCGCCGATGGCATAAGATAGATACGCCGTATCGTATCGTATCGTTTCAGGCATTCATTCCCATGTGCCGAAACTGCTTCTCCCTCGCCGCAACAAACCTTGCCCCGCGAAAGATATGCATGCAGCTCTTGCCCACCCTGTTTCCTGCTCTAGAACACACCATGCGCGAAATGCGGAGGCGATTTGCCCTTGCGGAATGTGAGGGGGGTCCGGAAAGGTCCGCCCGCCCCCTTGAACGACATGATTGCCCATCGAATCCCACCAGATACATATTCAGAGGTTGGGCCGTGCGCCTCGAGAGGGAAGAAGGAGAAGAAGAAGAAGAAGAAGAAGAAGAAGAAGAAGAAGAAGAAGAAGAAGAAGAAGAAGAAGAAGAAGAAGAAGAAGAAGAAGAAGAAGAAGAAG